CTGTTTCTCTTTGAACACAACACACCTTTTCACAGTGACTAATATTCAATACTTAATTTGCCGCCCCACTGCTCCTGACTGTTGCCCCGAGCTGGAGTCACATGACCTCGTGAAAATGTCTCTCCTTTTACAGAAGCCATTTTGAAAGTGTGTGCTAAGATATTTGAGGGTTTAAAGCTATGTAATGAAGCATGTGTATATGTAACTCATATGTATTTGCCACTGGGAGACAGATGCGTGAAATGGTATAGAGGCGAGTTGTAAGGGCACATAATGTGGTCAGTAGGTCATCACGCGTCACATCAGACAAAGAATCAGCGTTTCTTTGTCATGTGAGAGCAAGGACATGTACTGATTATAATTAAAGCTTGACAGGTGGGAGGTAATTAAGTAAGAGCACTTAGCCTGTAGGCTTCTTTGAGTGTTTCTAAATTACTCATATTTTTGCTTTAATGAAGATGAAGACAACATATAATGTGATACACCATTAGGGTGCATGAGTCGGATTAAAATATCTCCTACTGATCTCATTGATCTCTCATACTCTCATTCACTGCATTCAAGTTCCGCCTATTAAATATTCTGCAATGTGCATCCCTGTAGTTTAGGGGTTAAAACGCCCAGTCATGAACCAGAAACGCCCCTAATTGGAGTACAGCTCTTATTTCCTTTCATCTCCTCTGGAAAAAACATTACATTATGCTGTAACTGAAATCACATCAAAGCTGTGAAAGATCTTTTCCTATACTGTAATGATACAAATCAAAGTAAGTCATCATTTCTTATTGTTTTCTGACATTGAATCCCTACTACACATGACATAGAAGAAGGTGCAAATAGCTAAGATAGAGAATTATTTGTTTGAAAGCACTAATTAAGAATGATTACTCAGTTTAAATACTGCATGTACTGTCCGTTCCCTTGTGATGGAGAAGGTATTTTTGAATTTGGGTTTATTAATTCAGTGTTTTTATTTAATCCATTTGAAGAGGGATGTTTTCTTGAAAACAATATTTTGAAATGAGAGAACCACACAACACAGCCTCTGCCAGTTCCCACTGATTGGTCCTCAAAGACCACAATAGGGTTTGTTTAAAATAAAAAAAGAATGCAGTTTGCTTTCACCTTCATGTGCCCCCAGTGACTTTATGTGACACGCTAAATCTTTATGTATCACATTTCATTTCTCAGTAAACCTACTGTGTTATTACGTGTGGCTGCTACACCCTGTTTGTTTGTGCACCAAAGATAAAAGTGCTTGATCCCCATCCAACCCCGAGCAGTGTGCTGAGAGATAAGGCCAGATCATACCCATAGCCGCGCTGCTCAGGGCCGGGAAGCCGAATCATTTTACTGACACATACTGATGAGTCAAACAGGAACAAAATGAGACGCACATAGGGAGATGGAGCTCACAACTCCCAGAGATTTTCAGTAATCGAGTATAACATGGAACGCATATTGGATAAGAGGTCTATTTTTAACTTGCATTCGTCACAGGGAACGTCTCGTGTGCATGAATGCTCTTGCTCTGGGATCGCCCTGCTCCACACTTACACTGTTAAAACGGGAGCAAATGGAGATAAAGAGCCTTGCTTATTATAACTTAATACGAGCTTGCAGCTATCTATCGTTTTTTTTTCTTTCTGCATATTCCAGCATCCATCTAAATTGAAAACCTGATTGCAATGTAGGCCTACTTTGTGGTCCACCACTATGATCCCAACTAAAATACCTCAAAATCATTTGATGGATTGCTCTGAAATGTGGTACAGACATTTGTACATCTAAGACGATGATTCCTAGCGACATTTCCTCTACAGTCCTTAGTGATACGTTTCCCCATACCACAATAAAACGGCATACTTTAAATGTTAATATTCCACCATCATTTGCGTAAACATGAAATGTATCCAATACTCGGGCTTGTGATCAAATCTGCGAGCGTCAGCTATAGGCTACTTTGTGTTTACAGATAATTAGAAAATGTTACAATACAAACATACTATACTTAGATGGTTAAAATGAATCTAGCTAAACATCCACATGTTTGCATTGTCATTGTTAGCTTGTTAGCATGCTGACATTAGCCCCACAGTTATGCATTTTAAAGCTCCTAAGTAGAATCTTAGCATTGTTGTGTTTTTGATTTAGGTTATAAAACCAGCTAGATTTAATAGCATTTTCTCTGTTTAGAGATTTCATGATTGGTCTACTTTATATTCAGTAGGTTAAGTTTGTTGAAATAAAGTACCTGTGTGTTTTACAGCCCCAGTCTGCAGATAATTTATAACAAAAGACTAACACTTCCTTCTTCAAAGGAAAAAGGGTTTTATATAGTTGATTTGTCTGGAGTGACCACTAATAGCTGACTGTGAAGCAGGACTAATGGCTGTCATAGAACAAAAGCGTAAGTCTATGTCCTCACTGTCGCCCTCAGAGTGGAGGAGATACAATTTTGGAGCACATATCCATGAATGTTAATTTAATTGGTCTGGCCTTTCTGATGTGAGGGGGCAAACCGGATAAAATGCACATAAACCTCCGATTTAATTTGATGTTTTTAACAAGTCACAATATCTAAAGTAATGTTAAATTGAGAGTGGAGACAGTGAGGTCTCTGATTGATAATTTATTGAGGATCATACTTATTTCTAAATGTTTTCGAGAACTCTAAAGAGTGTGTGGTTCAGTTTCCATCTCAGTATATATACGATGTTGGGTGTTTAACACCAGCCCACATAACGGCAGCACTAAAGATACTTATATTTTAAGATATTTAAAACCTGCTCTGGCCCCTTTAATAATATAAGCTCATCCATCCCGCTGTCAGACTCAATTTAAATAATTTATATGCCTAATAAATAGAGGCAGAATCTCTGGCACCAACTTGGTGAATTGGCACTTGAGAAATAGGATATTCCGCTCTTATTTTTTGCCGATATAAAGATAAATCTAATAAAATCAACAGCAGAAGTATCCTCTTGTTATGCTTATCATCTTTTTCTGGAGGTCTCGCCCGATCACTCATCACTCTGTCGACAGGCTGCTTTCAGCTGCACTTGTCACACTGTGATTTCTGGAACCGATAAGAGCTCTGATTGAACATTTGTTTGGCCTGCGGAAACACCACCGGAGCCCGGCTTGTAGTTGTTCATTTATACGGTTAAACATCTTTCCTGGTCAGGCACTGTTGGCCTGAGTACAGGCTCCAGACAAAAACCATGAGAATTGATAGTTATTTCTCATAAATACTGTCGGTAAATCATTGTCCAGTGACCCTTACAACACTAAAGTTGGAAAGTGGCAGACTCTGGTGTAGATGTAATAATCCATCATTTGATGAAATGTATTCTCGTGCACTTCCTCAGTGGAAATGGATTGAATGTAACAAATCCAAAAGGGTTCAGACCTTGGCTGAGTCATAAAAAAACTTTGTCTCAGTATATGGCACTTCCTGTATTGTCATGGAGGGTAAATGTGAAGCTCTTATGATATGACACTTAATCATACAGAAGACAATATGTCAGATTAACAGATATCTTGACAACCATTTTCAGTAAATGTGTCACTCATGTCATAAAATACCTTCCTTTATTAATCATAACATATAGCTATTTAATAATAATGTAATCTGTGTTATACCGCTTTGTAGAAAATATGATATTTTTGATACGTTTAAGCATCATATGGAACATAAAAGGAATTTAATTTCTTTGTAGTATGAACAATCAGAAATGTGTGTGTGTGACTGCCTTTGTGCATATTTCTGCATATTATATTAGAGCTGCAGCTGTTTACCTTTCGCCACATTATCCAGAACAGTATGTCAAAAGCTTCAATAGAAAACTAAAAGTGTTATCCTTATCATTTCATTTTCTACTAACACCTCAATACTAGAACAGACTGCGGAACAAACTGACACTAAAGACATTAGTTCCTCCGGAGGACTCATGTATAAACAAGTGGAGCTTGTTCCTATCTGTATTAGTGTTTTTAAATATTTTAATTACTGTGACTGGGTATGATGACTGATGTGTATTCATTAATTGCCCTTTAGTGATTTTGTTTACTTGTTTCAAGGTCTACCTTTGAAAAAAAAGTCTTGCTATCAAACAGACCTCCTGAATAAATAGAGCTGAACAAAAACTCCTTTATTTCACAAGCTTTTGCATTAATGGGACTGGAGAGACATCAGTGGAAATCTAGCAAAACCAGTTTCTGTTTGTTTGTCCGTCTGTGTTTGCTCTTGTGGCAGATGTACAAGAAAGGATTAATGGATCAGGCGTGGACCTTTTGAAGAGACACTCTCTCGAAACCAGGACATATCATTTATGTGTCTCCCATGCAATATGATCCTCTCGGAGATACGGTGCTACAAAGCAACAACACATCAATTACATTGTCAACCATGCAGACAAACTTCTAAGTAAATTGTTGTTACTAAAGGAGACTTCTAGGGCTTGGATCAAACAACCAAACTCTGCTCTACCGCCTGAGCTACATGACCATTTTGATCCCTTTTCATTATTTAGAGACTTTCAGAAGACTGAGAGTGAAGTGGCTCTGCTTCGTGATTAATTAAGATGCCAGTCTTTTATATAAAAAAAACACTATTAACATGATACTCAGCAAATGTTCTCTATCCATCAGAGTGCTCAAGTTAAACAAACCATGACGAGTGGCATTTTGGAAATCCGCCATAAACAATTCCATCATTTAATTTTTTTCTGGTGGATTAATGGATTTTATGGTTGTATTTTTCTGATGGATGTGTCATTATGTACTTCAAAATGTGTGTGTTATTATTCTTTTCTCCTTTAAATATAGCTTTAAACAAATATGTGCCCAACAAACTTGAATCCTGTCTCTTTTTCAAAAAATGATTGGGACACAAACATGAAAATTACTTGACTGATGCGTCAATGCATGTGGATTTTGACACACGTAACAATGACTCTGGCCTGTCTTAATCAAAGTGTCTTCCTGCTGTTTTTCAGGGACCTTGTGTGCAGCCTAAATGACGAAGTGGAACTTGTTCAAGCACCAAACAACGCCCATGGTAGCTGCTGACCCAACGGGAGCCAGTGCTTTGACTGTGACTCCAGCCCTTGACACATTAGTCTCCACTGACAACTCCACCGAGCCCGTCGACAAGAACGATGGCTTCGACGAGATCAAAAACAAATTCCTCAATGAAATCGACAAGATCCCACGTGAGTGCCACACAAAACACCAATCCTGTTCCGATCAACCAACTTGTATTAATGTGACTCCGAGCATTGATTTCGGAATGAGATTTACTCTTTAGCTGCGGGGCATTGGCAGCCTCTTAATGTCTTTATTCAGTATTGATCACTGGCTGCCTTTCCTAATGGCAGCAAAATCTAATTTTCACCCAATGTAATTGCTAATCTTGCACCTTTTACTAAATATATTTGGCCCAGGACATGACATGAAAGTAGGCTAAATGATTGGTTGGTCAAATGTCAAAGTATTTGCTTCTCTCTTCTCTTTCTGGGTGTGGATGTGCCGTCTATACATCGGTCTGTATGTTCTCCTCAGTGCCGTCCTGGGCCATCATTGCCATTGCCGTGGTCGCTGCTTTACTCATTCTAACATGCTGCTTCTGCATCATCAAGAAATGCTGTTGCAAGAAGAAGAAGAACAAGAAGGGCAAGAAGGGGAAGGGGGAGATGGGAATGAAGAACCTGAAAGGGGGAGAGGTATGTTTTTCCGCGGGAGGCCACATCACGGCCGAGGGGATTTACACGTATACTGTTTACAAAGCAAAGCACAGCTAACCTGTTTATGAGCGTATTATGTAACAGCTATGGGGCTTTGATATGGGAATAGAGAGAAAACATGCATGCCATGATACTGTATGTTTGCCTCAGCTAATCATATGACAGCAGTAGCCCTAGTGATACATATGTTATCCTAGTTTCCTATTTTAAATGTATTAGATTTCATATTATGTATACAGACTCTGTTGGCTTTCTAACCCAGTCAGTGTATTCTCCGCAGGTGTTAATTGTGTTCTTTATCCACCATGATTATTTTTCATATTTATTCTTTCAGTTATTTAATGTATTTGTCATTAATGTTATTGTTGCTCTCTCTTTCACTTATGCTTTGGGCTTTGAGTGGAAAATGACAGGACTCTTATCTATTCAGCCCAGCCATTGTTTCCCCTAGTCATTAAAGAGTAATTATGAAAATTAGCAGTTAGCACAATGCTGTTGTTCTCGGGCCTATAATTATTATTCCTTTCCACATACATGATTGACGACATTGACAATAAGTATACATCTAAACGTGGAGTGGTTTGAGCGGCCCTGCTAGATATAACTGTGCTAATGAGGAGGCTTGTCTATCTGTCATTTTCCGCGCTGCCTACAGTGTAGCTGACTACATTTGCTGTGATTACACTTCTTTGGTGTCTGCTGTGAGTTCAATCTCTTCCTTTGTCTCTGCTCTCCTCCTTCCTGCTTTGTGTCTTATGTGTGCTCCGTGTATCTTGACTGTGGTGGACTTCTTTGCCTACGGTAGGTCTGATAGCACGCGGCGCCCCTCTCTGGCCGCTCTGAGTAAGCGCAGACCGGTGGTGGTTGGGGGTGGGGGGGTGGTGTTGGGGCTTGAAAGGGGTTGGATTGCAGTGATGATGACAATGAGTGCTATGGCTTTCTTAGAATTGTGCAAGCTTAGGTGCTGCGGGTGCTTGAGGAATCTATGAGAGCGATTTTAAGCTGCTTCGCAAACAAATCTACTGAACTGATATGCCGCACCGACTGCTATGTCTTGAATACTTAGAGATTGCAATATTTTTGAAAAAACTATAGAGCAAAGATGTGTTTAGGTGGTTTGAAATGAAATCTCATCCTACGGTTGAGCCTTTGAATGACGAGTGCACTCAGCAACTCACTAGAGATCACTAGCATGCATGTGCAAGGGGTAAGCTGGGTATTTGTCAAATAATAAGCGGGAACATTACCTAAACTGAGAGCTTTGAGCATGTTTCCACCATGACCAGGCCTCGATTGTTTAACGCAACACAACAAATTTACAAATTATAAGACAATTTTGGTCTGAAATTCACACACTGCGCCACACCTGTGCAAACACGCTCCGAGTTCCACGACAGATAAAGCTGTCTGTATCTCTTGACAAAGACCAGCATATTCCCTTGCAGTAGGTACCATTGAATGGCCACAACTTGACTTGAGAGTAACTTTCCTGGATGACCCATGCTGCTGACATACTAGGTGACAGTCATTGACCCCCCTCTCTCCCTGAAGCACGGGTCTCACTGAGGAGAAATGGTGGGCCAGAATGTTTGCCGACAATTTCAGTCGTTTCAAAGTTTAATTTACAGTCAACCAGCTGTTTAAAATACACATTTTCTTTGATAAAACCTCCCACAATTCATCCCATTGAGTTGACCAAAGGGCATACATTCAGACAAACCATGTCTTTATTTTGAACCCCCACAGGAAGTTTGAAAACAACCGTAACATTCTCAATATAGCATGATTCTGCCATGAATGTGTACATTTCACTCAGAACACATTTCTCGCAGAGGTTTAAAAAACAAAGATAAGAAACATACCAGAAATTATGAAATCTGTCTTATAAATAAGGTAATTCATTTTACATTTGCCGTCAGAAGGAAACTTGGATCCTGCATTGTGTGGCCTGGCATGCTTGAATGAAAAGCATTTAACACAATGAAGATAGAGAATGCCACATAAAAGGATATTGTGTGAGATTGTGTGTGTGTGAGAGAGAGAGAGAGAGTAATGGAGGTTTTAAGCATGCATGAGAGCCTGCATGTAAGCAAGCGTGTGTGTGAGTGTGTGTGTGCAGTACAGTATGGTGTGCAGTGGGTGTGATAGTGTGTGTATTATCTGTGTGTGTGCCCTGTTCCTCTTCCAGCTCATCAGTGAGTAGCTGGACCCTCCACTCTTACGAGGACATCAGTGTTTTTTCAAGAAGACAGCCATAGGAAAGTAGGCCATACTGAGATACCATCCAGATTCATACAGTATCATAAATGAAAGTTTACTTTAATATTCATATCAGAGCAAATTGCCTTGACTCGGTTAGTCTCGGCCGCCTCTAAAAAGATGACAATCTGAAGAGTCTCTTGGTGTGATGTAAAAGCAAGATTGATCCATCTTCAATTATCTCAGGAGCATTTAACTGTCAGTAAACTGCAGATTTATATTCCCGCACATGATCAAGAATCACAATATTTCACATTAGAGTATCAGCCGGAAAAATCTGCTCTCTGTTTTGGAGGTTTTAAATCACATCAGCAATTCAGTTAACTACAATAATCAGGCTGGAGCAGCAAAATCCTATCAGCAGCACAAGTGTGCACACAATAATCAAATGAAAGCAAACAGTAATATTGTCTGGCCTGAAATAAAGCTGTTTGTCTAACAGCTCATATTATCAGTGAGAGGGAATTCGCCAGCAAAGTTTCAGAGCGTTTCAAGAAAAGTGTCAGGAACGACTGCGTCAGGGGTTTCATCAAATCACACCTATCCCTCAAAGCTCTGTCCTCCAGTTCCTCTCGGGAAGGACGCTCTGCTTCTTGTGACAGCGCCTGTTTGAAAGGCTGTACACGGGGGGTGGACACTATAACAAGAACACCTTGCTCTAAAGTGATATGCAGTGCAAAAGCTCTGCAATAAATACTAGTGCTCACTTTTGTGTCCAAAAGACAACATTTTGTTGAGAAAACATCCCATAATGTCCCTACGTCAGCTCTTGCTCATCTTTGCTGATGCAGCGTTGTGCTGTGTGGGATACGTAGGCACCATTTTGTAGACTTTTAAAAAGTTCATATGACTCATTTTGGTTGAGTTTTTTATGATTGTGTAGCTGCCTGTGTATCTGCCTGTTTAACTGCAATGCAGTCCCTTTACAATCCTAAAAAATCCCATGATATGTCGTGTTCCTCTTATTTTACCCAACCCCATTACAATTACAGGCAGTTACACAAGTACATCCATATACAAGTTTGGAGAATCACTGATTTATGAGTACAATTTGACAACTCCCAGAGGTTTTTGCATGGCTGTCGTGTAAGATTGCAGTATATTATAAGGTGTTCCTGTTTTTCTGTCCACCCCCGCATATTGACTATTTATGTATTGTTGTTTCTCTCTAATTTCTCACCCTTTTATCTCTGTCTCTCTCCACTCTTTACACACAAAATAGTTATATTAAAATGGCATTTCTACACTTTCTTTTAGAGAAATTCCCTACATTGGATTTTAGCAGATTTTATCAAACCAAAATATAAAACAGCAAATGGTGTCACCCAAGAAATAGTGAAATCAAGTCAGGTTGCAACCGTGGTCATCGATGAACTGATTGCACTAGTAGCAGCGGGGTGACAGGGGTAAGTGGCAGGTAGGTGCTGTGGCTAACCGACTGCTGATGCCCGAGGTTTAGTGTTCAGCACCTCACAAACTCCCTCTCACCCTTCTTCTTCTGCCGCCCGTCCCCTTTTTTCTCTGTTCAGAAAAACCAGGATGATGATGATGAAGAGGATGATGTGGAACCTGGACTGACCGGAGACGAGAAAGAGGAAGAAGTGAAGGAGAAAGAGAAGCTGGGCAAGCTGCAGTACTCCATCGATTACGACTTCCAGGAGAACAAGGCATTTATTTTACATTTTCGTCCATTCGTCCAAACGAAAAGCCTGTAGGTGCCATAACACTACTTAGCTCAAGTTCATTATCTGTATTATTTACGTCACCTTTATTTGCTTGTTGAGCACTTCCGGTAATTGTCACATGGGTGTGGTTTGGTTTATAAGTCACCTGTTTGATGTCGAGTGCACATGACAGAGGGTGAGCTTGTGCTGTCATTTTTTCTGTTGACCGTTTTGTCCATAGTTATTATGTTTTGATTTTGTTTATTAAATATCCTTAAAACTATATTGCTTCAACATGGACTTTCTTTTCGAAAACGCGTCACAGTTTAAAGCCAAGTTTAGCCTCTCGGCGACTCAAATGTAACTGGGGATTGAGCCGCCACAAAGCCTTTGGCCTGTTATTTCATGGTTCATTATGGAAATAGAGAAACAGGATCAAGCACACAGTGAAGGACTTTTGCGTTTGAGCTCGGGGAAACGCTCAGTGACTTTTAATCTCTTCCTTTCCTCCCCAGCTGACTGTGGGAATCCTTCAAGCAGCTGATCTCCTCTCCATGGACAGCGGTGGAACCTCCGACCCCTACGTCAAGGTGTTCGTCCTCCCCGACAAGAAGAAGAAGTACGACACAAAGGTTCACAAGAAAACGCTCAACCCCGTCTTCAATGAGACCTTTGGCTTCAAGGTAAGCTAAAACACGACCAACCTTTTACATATTACTTATTAAACACAAGCCGTTTGATTCAGACAGGTCCTGTTAGAACAGAAATGTTCCTCCTGTCTTCCTCTATGTCTGTGAGCTTTAAGAAGCTGCTTTCTTTTCATCCAAACACCTCTGGCCAGCAGTGATGAAAAAATTGCAGCAGACATATTGAAGGAGAATGTGGTAGAGAATCAAATTAAAGGAGAAGGCCACCTCATGCTGCTGACACAGCGCTATATATAAAAAAGAAATCAGTTTCCTTGTCAAAGTCAGACGAGCTCTTTTGAAGCTGCATGTTATTAAGTCAAGGCCATTTTCAGCTCCAGGCCAAAGTCAGAAACCATATTGCTGTATATATTTCTGATCTTATCTGCACCAAGATTTGTCAAAAAAATAAAGCAACTCCTATAAACGACACAGATGGGTGAAATGGGATTACTTTCTGTCCTCTAGATTCCATTCCAAGAAATCGGAGGAAAGACACTTGTGATGTGCGTCTATGACTTCGATCGCTTCTCTAAACATGATGTCATTGGAGAGATTAAGATACCCATGAACACCCTGGACCTGGCCAAGCCAATTGAGGAGTGGAAGGACCTGGACAGCGCCGATCAAGAGGAGGTGAGAGTCCTGCAGTGACGTATAACTGTTCATACTTAATACTCACTTCAATTGATGTATGCTTTATATATATTTAAGGCCAGAAACAATGTGTTGATTTTAAGAAATCTCATGAAGAGGCTTTCATTTATATTTTTACAGTGTGAATGTGTTGAGAATCACCCCCTGAATCTGCAGCTCCCATCGACTTTGCAGAGCTTTAGATTGGGTTTCCGCTCAATGTAAAATTGTATGTCTTTACTTTGCTGTTGAGTGTCTCTCTCATCGCTCTATTAGGTGCAGGTTTTTAGTAGAATAAGCTCTAAAAGCCACTTTACCATACCTGCTCAACACCAAACAACAGACAAACACTGTTATAATAATAATCTTTATTTGTATAGCACCTTTCATACAACAAGTGCAGTCCAAAGTGCTTCACATAGACATTTCACAGAAAATGTATCTCACACAGAATACAGATACCGATAAAAGACATAAAACATTTCATAGAGTAGACATATATAAAAAATACATTTAGATTAAAGGTACAACAATGAAATTGTACATATAGACTAGCTGGTAAACAGAGTGGAGTATTGAGCAATAAGTTGATCAGAAGAATTAGTGGAAATATTGGGCTTACATCCACCATGTGGCCACACACAATATCCCAAATGAATCACAATGTCACCCTGTAACTGACAGATGTGTAAATAGTAACTAACCACCAGATAATATCTCATATACTTTGCAAACTGTAGTCATAATGCAACATGTTAAAGATGGTTTTAACATCCTGAAATATAATAATTAGGACTCAAAAACACGTTTTACTATTTAGAGCAACCTGAATATCTGATTAGATAATAAGAAAAGGCAGCATGTTTTCTGTTTACCAGAAGGACTCGGAGGGCGGAAGGACAAACTTTTAGTCGTCCTCTGTCGCCATGCAGACGCTCACATTGCGTTATAAAAACAGCTTTTAATCAATGAAATCTCCCCAGAGCCACCTTGGGATGTAATAATCACTCTACATTTGCTTGCTGTTTCAGAAATGTTATTAACTTTGAAAAGGCCAACGAGCTGTAGGCTACTTAAGAATACTAGTAATGGCTGCTAAGACAAGTAATGGCAGCAGGAATTGTTTGTATTGACAGTGAATGTTTTAAATGGGATTTCAAAGGGGCAGTTTGTGAGTTTTTTCCAGCACAGCCAAGACATTTATTCTGCGTCAGACCTGCTTTAACTTTCTCTCCTCATCCCTCCTCCTCACAGCCGGAGAAGCTGGGAGACATTTGCATCTCCCTGCGTTACGTCCCCACGGCTGGCAAACTCACCATCTGTATTCTGGAGGCCAAGAACCTGAAGAAAATGGACGTGGGAGGACTGTCAGGTACATGAGCATCAGATTCCTGCATTTCATCTCCACACTGACGCATTTGAATCTATTTCAGGGTTCAGAATTTGGCAAATATCACAAGAGCTTAGTGTGTAATGTGGGAGCTTGCAGCGTGACTGCAGAGTAAACAGGAACGTGCCTGAGAGCGCATCCATTAGGGCGCTGTGCTCATGTGCGACGCTGCAGTGCTCCATTCAGCAGCTCCACCCCCCCCCCTGGTTCAGCATTGGCCCCATCTGTTGGTGCATCGCAGCACTGCAACCCAACCCTGCAACTGCAAGAGAGTTTTTTTTTTTTTTAAAGATCTCCTATCATGCTATTTTTAGGCATATATTATAGGTAGTATATATATTTTTAGGCATATATATTTGCTCAAAATACCAGACTGATCATGCATTTTAGACATTCCTCATGTCCCTCTATTTCAGCCCTATTGGAAATAAAAGAGGGGGGAAGCTTATTCTGAGTATCTGATCAGGAGAATTACAGATACAGCTAAATGCTGCTGTGATTAAATGCCATATCATGTTCAAAACCACATTAAATCAGCTTTGACACGATTTGACATTCTTTCTGGTTTTTAGATCCCTATGTGAAAATTAACCTGCTGCAGAACGGAAAGAAGCTGAAGAAGAAGAAGACGACAGTGAAGAAGAACACTTTGAATCCGTACTACAACGAGTCCTTCAGCTTTGAGATTCCTATTGATCAAATGCAGGTAAGGATGGGACCTGCTTAATGTATCAAATACTGTATACAAGTAGAACATGGGTGTACTACTTACTGTACAAAGGCAAATGTGTACCTAGATCAATACCAGTGTGCACTAACAAGCAATTAATCATCAGGCAGAGAAAATCCATTCACGCTTGGAAGTAATTACATGGACACAATGATTCTTGTCCCATGCATTTTATTTCATTTTAACTGAACATGACTGACAACGACAGATGGTCTCTTTCAGATAAATCAGACGATGGGAACACATCTGTTCATATGAACAATTTATGTTTTTACACTTTGTTGGTTTTGTATACATTTAAACACTTATATATCCAACTCTCAAGAGAAAAGGGCACAAAATGCCAAACTATTGCTGTAACATCATCCTGTAACTTACACTTGTGCTACTGGCTATTTATACAGTAGATAGAAAGAAAAAAACGTTATTTATTTAACCTTTATTTGGAGGCTGTGCAGTGCTTATTGATATCTGAAAATGTTGACAGAAATTAGCATCGAAGATTCATATATGATCAAATCTAAATCGTGCAGCACTAAAGCAGGGCAATGAACATTTTAAAAGTCAAGATAAATTATCGCAAGTCCCATTTCCCAACACCTAACCAGAGAAACCCCTGTGCTGACACCTCACCATCTGTACGCCCAAACACAATATGCAACATCAACTAATAGTAGAGGATCAAACCCTCAAAAAAGCTTTTAGTTTTCGAGATACCCCTTAGTAGAACAAAGCACAGCCATGTTTTTGTATTACTTGAATATGTTTAGTTTATGAAATGGATGGTTGTATACAAATATTTTGCTGCAAAATGTATTTTTTTGGTGGATCTTTGGAACCTTCCCATAACCGAAATCAGTGAAAATGAAGACTCCTCTGAAGGGGGCTGTGTCGGCTGTATTTCCAGAGATTCTTCATGTATCTCTGGAAATATAAAAAGATATATATAAATCACCTGCCTTTAAAAAGTAAAGCATCTTTCCCCTCCCTCTCATCCATTTAATCGCTGCAGCGTTCTTATTGTCGTAATGCTTTCTCTCCCAGAAAATCCTAGCTGTGATCACAGTGCTGGATTATGACAAGATTGGCAAGAACGATGCCATTGGGAAGATCTTGGTGGGAAGCAAGTCCACGGGGGCCGGGCTCAAACACTGGTCCGACATGCTGGCCAACCCCCGCCGCCCCATCGCCCAATGGCATCCGCTGCAGCCAGAGGAGGAGGTGGATGCCGCCCTCGCAGCTCTGAATGCCAAGAAGTAAAACTCCCCCCTGAACACATCGTCCCCACCTCCACCTTTACCCCTCCCCACCATCTCCCCCCCGGCCCCACATATCAGTGTATATTCCAGAAGAACACCCCGACTGTACATCCGCTCCCTCCAAAACCTCCAAAACCCACACCACCCCTTCCTCTCCTCCTCTCTCCCATCGCCACCTTTCAAAAAAGATCCATTCAACATGATGGGAAATATAGTTTAAAAAAAGAAGCATCATGTAATAAGAAATCATGTCATTGAAAAAAGAAGACAAGTTACAGGATGGACAGATACTCCGTTGATTTCATTTAGATCTATTTTTGTATTGGGGTTGTGGTTCCATTAATAAGAATACAGAGTAGACTACGAAGAACAGTAAGAGTGCGTTATGGGAATCTGGTGATAGAGGGGATAAAACATACATTCACTCGTATTGTACTTCTCACCCCTTCCCTTTAGTAACACAGTTTGCTTAGAATAGTGCTTAATAATAAAATGCTTTATACTGCCATATGATAGAGAAATAACACAAGCAGGTCCATTCCTTAGGTGTTTTGTGCACCATTTTCCACACCTGCCAGTTATCATACTAGCTGATTCTATTAGTTTGAGTACATTCCTAGAGTTGGGTAGCGAGTAGGGATAGGCACATATCCAGTTACCCACAAACACACTGCCTTTTTGATTAGTTAACCTTTCCACCCATCGTCTCAGGAAAACTGAGAGGAAACTGAAACTCCATGCCTTTTTTTCTAAACGGGTTCTATTATTCAAATACTCCACTTGACGAGAAAGAAAGGTTGGATCCAAAAGCTTGAGCGTTTGTTTTTTTTGGTGACGTTAGGCTTGCGACTAGTAAAAGTTCATCCATCAAATGGTACGTTAGGGAACTGGTGGATTTTCAGTGAAAAAAAAAAAAAAAAAGGGTATTTGTGTATTTTTTGACTGCTCAAAAACGGCTGTGTCTGTCATTTGAATAACAAAAAGCGAGGGAACATCAGAGCGGGTGCAACACAGACTGATTCCAACCACCAATGACATGATATTTGCAAGGTGTCGATTACTGCCTGCAGTCTACCACCTCCCCTCCCTCCGATTCTGTCTCTCACTCGTTCAGTGTTACTGCCATTAGTCATGGACTTGACACAAGGGTTTTACTTCAAAGGAATCCCTATAACCGTCTTACAGTCATAAAGGAGACAAGCCTTCAAAGTAACAAAATAAGCAATTTTCAACTACCAGGGACGCCTTCCAGTTAGCGGTGTTGTTCTCTTCATTTCTTGATTTTTTCAATCTTTTATTTATCCAATTTTATTTGAATTTATTTAACTTTTTATTCCTCAAGCACTTTAAATCCAAATGTTACTTTTAAGTACCCTCAGAAACCAGAGCTTTAATTATTTATGTCATTAGTAACAGCTGGTTTAAGGAAAAGCAAAAGAGCAAGGGGAGTGCATTATGTAAGTTTCTTTGTTGTTGCTTTGTTTTTCGGCTCAGTTTTTTGTGTATGTGTTTTGATTGTTTGATTATGACGTTTCTCACTTGATTGCAAGGATATGGTCTGGAAGAAAGCACTGATCCGTGTGTATTTTATACACAGCTTACCAAACTGTTGAATTTAATTGCACTACTGGGTATTATTCTGTTGTGTGTTTTTTAATGATAAAATGTTGTGAGATTGAATTTTTCTGTGGCACTTGTGGCATGCCAGACAGGTCTCCTCATAATAATGGACTCCTCCAAAAAGAAAAGAGACACATTACAATCTAATGCTCCCAGGCTACTTCGATCCTTGTAATTGGTTCAGTTTATCTATAAATTCATAATCTGTTGAAGAAGTCTTTTGAGGAGAACATTCAAACCGTTGTTTGACCAAAACTCCTCAGCCCTGAATAAATTGGTGGAAGCTTGATTGTTAATTAAAGTTCTGACATGTCGGGTGCTTTCACCCTGCTAAAAGGTCAAGTTATTAATTAAAATCAGGGCTGTCTTTGAACAACATCAGCAAAAAGTACCCGTTGACTGTGTGCAAGAAAATGCAGAGTCAATGTAAATCAAAATGTCGACTTCTTTTGGGGTTAAATTAATGTTGGCTCTTGTCACTTTCTCTGTTGGAAATTGTATCTCTTTATTTTTTTATGACCAACATAGACCAGGTTCAGTTTATCATCCCACATAATCCTTTTTCCTCTGTTGATGAAGCAGCACTAAAGAAAAGGCAACATGGAAGCAATCAAACAACCCATTGGTGTGTAGTTTTGCCTATATACATAGTTCATACACGTTGATACTGCATGTTTATACAAAATACTGTACATAGGAGCATGTTTTAGAGACGAAGCAAAAATATCTCGTGTACGTAAATGGGTGTCATTTGTCATTTTAATAACACAAACGAAGGGGAAAAAAGATGCACTGTATATTTTCTAAATGAAACAAATGTGTATTTATTTTCCATGAGGGTCATTGGAGAGAATGTCATACAAACATTAGAGTAATATTACTAATAACAACTTTTCCACGCCTGAAATTGTTAAGCAAGTGTGTCGTCCAGTACTGTGTGTGAGTTCATGTAGGATGAAAATGTAGCCGCATGCTTGCTATATAATTCCTTGTGATCACATTTTTTATTTTGATACCATTTATCTGCCATACGTTCTGTTTCATCTGAAGGTGTGAATTATTTCTGGATTTTATTGCTATTGCGTTTCTTTCTTTTTTATCAAAATATGTTCCAACTTTTTTAATGTTCAGGATGTGGCGGGGGTCTCCAAGTCTGTAACTATTTTCTAATAACAGATTTGGCCTGATGTTATCTGAAATAACTTCTTAGATGAAAGTTGAATAACTCTGATCTATAGGTGGATTGTAGGAGTCGTTATATGAAGTCTGTTGGATCATATCTTTATGTGTTTAAAGGGGCCAAAGGATGAATAATCCCATTCTTGTGAACACTGATGACTTGGAATCCCTTCTTCTCCTTTTTACTTGGAAGTTCTTAATTTCCCACTTCTGAAGTATTTAAATGACCTGAAACCCTTCACGGCTGTGTCTCTTTTACTCTGTTTATTATACAATACGTGTACCTGTATACAAGATAAATGAATAAGTTATAAAACTAAAGCCATAAAACTCTAGCACTAACTCCTTAGAGCTCAGCTGAGTAGCTAGAGTTTATTTATGAAGAAAAAAAAAGCTGACGTCTTCATTGTCCTTGGCCAGTGTTTCTCTTTTACATTCCGTTCAGAGGTCTTTGTTCATCAAGAGGGCAAACATCCACTTTTATGTAAATGTGAGCTTTGAGAGCAGTTGTGAGTTTAGTAGAGTGAGTGTGTCTTTTTCTACTTTCAGAGCTGTTGATGTCCTTGTTTCATAGAGGTAGCTGATTTTACAGTATCGTGATTAGTAACGTATATGCCTTGTTTTGATAGCATAAATATAATATCACAAATCTCAATAATACAGCTAAAATGATATGTATATACTTATATAAATATGAGACCGTGTTCTTTTTCTTGGGCTGAGTGCAATTTATGAACCAAACCGGGTCACTCCTTAAGTTTCTCTTCGTCGGATTCAGCAGCAGGAAGTACTAGTGACCACACGTACAATCAATAACACACTGCTCTGAGCTTTTTTGTTGGTTTGTTTAGCATTTTTGCTCAAGCAACAAAACAATATAGTTGGAGATCCAGTGATAGAAAAAGCAAAAAGAGAGAAACTTAAAACAGTGGCACCCAAATTGTAGCCTGAATCCCTCCCATAGGACTATGCATAGTATTACGATGTAGACGCATAGCAGAAAGTGTGTAAAAATATAGAGATTATGTCATGATACGGCACTAAAGGATGATCCAATTGTTGGTAAATATCTTTGAGAAGATCGATACCACTGTGATGTCCTTCTAATGTGGTATCAATCTTCTTATTTAACTATTGGCAACATGTGTATAATTATTTCCTGAAATATTCCTTTAAGTTTACCTCCGTTGCTGATATTTCTCTGAAGTAAACGTTTAAACTGCCATCCATCTAGTCTGGAAACGATCTCCAAGGTGTTGCACATGATCTAATGCAATATTATATTTACTCACTGTCCCATTACTGTTACTGACTGTGACCAAACCACGCACTGAGAACAATTCAAACACAAGATTTCAGTGTGTTTTTAAAATACTGCCAGTACCTGGTCACAGTTGCCTGCATTTGTCTACACTGTTTGAATCTACAAAAGCTACAACGATTCACGCAAACAGAACACATGAGATGATGAGGCAAATGTGATCACAGGTGAAGTTATAGCACATTTAAGAGATTTTTTTATTTTATTTTATTATTATACTGCCCGGGTCACAACGGTCATCTAAGTTCTATGGGGGACAGAGAGTGGGAGCTGTGTGTGTGAATATGTGAATCAAACAGATAAAGTGTAGGCCCTTTAGCAGAAATGGTGCAAAAACACAGCACTAAAATATATAAACACAATATACAGTACAGGTCTGCATGCACCGGACACATTACTCATTCCTAAATGTACATCTTTGTGTGTATGATCGTAATACTCAAACAATCTTAGTTTAATTTTAAATATGGAGGTTATTCTGTTCTGTGTAGATGTACAATACCTTATGCACAACTGCATCTGAAACTGTGAGCTGTTTCAGCCGTGCGGACAGTTTTCGAGCACCGTTCTCACAACTCTCTGTTTTTTTGTTTGTTTTTGTTTTTTTAACAAACGCTGGGATTTAAAAAGGGAAAACATCCAAAGTTCAGTAGATCATTAACCCCCCCTGTCTAAATGTGTTGAGAAGCCTCAGCGGGTACAGACGTCACTTTGAAACACGTTGTCTTGTCTCCTCTATTACTCGCTGTATTTCTTCTTTGTATTCTTGTGCATATGTGTAATCACTTCTTCTGTCCTTATTTGTTTCTGTGATGTATACTTCTAATGTAGAATGTAGGACTGTATTTGAATCAATGTCAGAATCACATTTGCTTTCTGTTTGTGTCTCTGTCCTGTTTATGTGTAAACCAGCTATGTACCATCAGTATGATGATGCTGACTAGGAAGCGGGCTTGTTGATTTCCTCCTCTCAATCTGCTCTTGCTGAGCGTAAAGAATGCCGGACTTCATGTTTACAACATGGACATACCGTATACTGCCAAACATGCAGGACCGTACCAAACTCCCCCTCTTGAGCGCTTAGTCCTCCACCTCTCATCCCTAATGCAACAAATCTTCTTTTTTCACCTCTTTCTCTTCTTCATCATCTTTTAAAAGCGTGGGAGGACAGTCAGGTTGTGTCCTCTAGCTGTGTTTCTTCGTGTCTAGTGTCGTGGTGCGCGTGTTCATGTCAGTACTTGTGCCTACTGTGGATCGCATGCTTTAGCCCTTGACTGGACACAAACGTTGCTCACCAACTCCTCTTGACCCTTATGTGGACAAACGTTGGGGATCCTTATAAAGTTATCAAGGGAACCAAATAACTTATTACAAATTTATCATATGTGTTACCAGTTCTGTAAAAAAACAAATAGGAAATAAAGGCCTTTTAATTACCATGACTTGTTTGTGTTTTAATATGCAAAACGTTCAGCTCAGCCGGCTCCTAATAATGTGTGTGCCTCTGATGCATAATACATTAATGTCACACTGAGACACACTCCTTTCCTTTACAGTTTATTAAGCAAAGTGTATTATCATTGTGTATTAAGCATGGACACGTTACACACATTTTAACAATAGATACTGTATAGTTCAATTCTGTGTAGAAATAGCGGACCAATTAGTAGTTCTGAGTAAGTGACCGGTGTGACAAAGATAGCCCTGGTGTTACAGCATCACATTGTTAAAGGAATACTTCAAACACCGGGGACTTTCGCTACTCATCCATTAAAGTGAAGAGAAGACGGATACCTAAATTATTCATGTCTCTGGCACGAAAGGAATTTTAATGCAAAAGTCTGGCTGTTTCATACATTAAATATGATAACACACTGTTTTAGACCAGGGAGGACTTCCTGTTGGATGACAGTGAAGGCTCCATGACAAAGGAGCGTCATGGAGACTTGTTAAGATAAAACAAAAGTTCAAATATTTTGTTGAACCCAAATACTGAGAATTAATCCAAACCATTTTTTTAAAGCACCAGTAGACATGGCCTCCAGAAGTGACCAGAACAAAAGAAGATCACCTTCATGAAGTAACGCTTTATTTCAACGCTTTATTTTAAGATGTAGCCAGATGTACCAAATAAGTCGATGAACTCAGGCAGTTATTTATGTAGCTCAATATCAACACACAACAAAGGATGATTGCAATCTGGACCGAATATAATTAAAAGTGCAGGCAACAGTTTATTCCTCAAAACGTTAGATTGTGCTTGATATTTATTTTGTTTTTGATCACACAATATTGTGAGGTTTAAAATGTCAGCAGTGATTCGCAATTTTGACATTTGCATTTTCATCAACTAGCAAATAAGATGGGCTGGAAGTCAACATTATAGATGTATTCCTTAAAAAAGTAAACAAATGATTGAAGATTAGAACTATGAAATGCATAAATAAATAAATATATCTCTATCACATGACATATAGGACACTTTTGTTCTCCACAAACACACACACTGTCTCATCTGTGTAGCCGTTCTGCTGATTTGAAGCTGAATCCTTTACACTTCTCACAAACATTTAAGAATTGGCGACTGAAACTGACAAAGAGAATCTGGCACAAACTGAATTATGTTATCATGGAAACTGACACTAGCGAGGATACAGGAGTGTTGCTAGTGATGCCCACACACTGTCCACTCTGTAGAAAGTGCATTACACAAAGTAATCTGCATTGCATGGCTAACATACGAACCCCTTTGAATACCAAATACAGGGAACATTTTAGGGTTAACAATTATGTCATATTCAAAATAATAAGGATTTCTCTAACACAAACATTTATCTAACTAGTTCTAAATAGTTTTAAGGCGACAGAACTTTATAACACTGTAGTGGCATAGGTATCGTAAGCAGGCACTGCTGAGTGGAAACCCTGAGAGTTGACAATCAAGGCAATCACAAAGCAAATCATGCATCTCATTATATCTTTATCATAGAGTAAAAATGTTCAAAATATTATTTTTTTACAACATCACTAGTCTTATATAAAAGTGTATGCCAGAAGCCGGAACATTTAATTTTCAATGCATTCTTAGACCGGAGCAAACATGTTCTTGCCATTAGGAGAACTGCATCTAACAATCCTGTGATGGCGTCAATGATGGTTCATACTTATAGTATGCCTTGTTGGATTCATATCAATATCTAGCTTTTGTTTCTGGAACTGGAGCACCTATTTGTTGCTTGGTTAGGCCTCATTTAACATGTGGTCATTTGTTCTGATTTAAATGACAATGATTTTAAAATACAGTCTATGCCAATGCCAAAGTGGCCTCGGTTTCCTCTAGCTTCTGTCACAATTAAAACAATATTAAAAAAACGTTTCTGCAGTGCAGCAAGTAACGTGATGTTTCAATGTAATGTGTGGGTATAATATTGAAACAGTACTTCCATGCAAACCCCTGGATGTGTTTTATATGGTCCCTATTTAAATACTGTGAATTAATCGTGTAGATATATTTGTTGCAACTCCATCGTCACACACGGTGAAAATGTACTGAAACTCCATAACACTTCTCTTTGGATCTTCATAAGTCCCAACAGGAATTTATTTCGGCAGAGCAGAGGAGTCACAACTTGGGACATGGTGGATAATGAAACTGCCATATCGGGGTTGGAGCGTCCACAGACACAGAACAGGAGCTTCAGACATCTTTTTATTTGGACAGTTTGCTGATGACTCGAATCAGAGCCCCGTTCTCATCCTTCAGCCTCTGGTTGTCTGACTTGAGCTCTGTTAACATCTAGGACAGCAGAGAATAGGAAATGATATTAGAACACAATATAATGATCACATATTTATATTTGTGAAATGGTTTGTTGATGGTTTCTCATTTAAAGCTGTGCACATTACCAGCACTGTTCACTCTAATGGTAAAATATCTTCAATGATAATTAACCACAACAGTTGAGGACATGCTCTTGAGTATAATCATGCAAGTGAGAAGTGACTTTGTCAATATGGTCTGCATGTGAAAAGTGAAAGAGAACAAAGTCAGAGAGAGAAACTGAGAGAGGGTCAATTTCCCCAAAACTAGGTCATGTCCCTCATGAGGAGCGATGACTAAAAATATCCAACCTCTTTGCCAAAATATTTTCCCTCTACTCGAAACAAACAATAAACCTCTGCTCTTAAGCTGTGACACATTACCGACAACTGGTGAATGAGGCGCTGCATCAATATGTTCCGTTTTTAGTCATTCGTATTAAAAAATAAAGTCCCATATAAATCTTATTACTATAGTAATGCCTCGCTCTGAATGTTTTAAAAGGAATAATTCAACATTTCTGGCTAAACAAACCAAGACACACCCAGTGCTTCCCCCACTGGTACAGGCCTTGCTCATTTGGAAAGAAATGATCTCACACATTTCATTTCCTTTGGTAGATTGACTAAGAATGACTATTTCCCTGGCAAACAACTTTGCATTGATTACACAGAACATTACACAGGGCCCACATTACATTTGACTCCAAGATCAATAACCGCTAAAAAACGTGTTTACTTTATCTTACACACCGCTGCTGTTGGTGTCTAAATCAGATGATTACCATAGAAAAAGAAAGCTCCTAATGCAGTTTTCATGTCATTTCAAGCCCCATGAAACATGGATGTAGCTGAAAATACACTTCAAAGTGAGACAGGTTTTGGGGGGGAGGGGGTCAGAAGGGTTGCCCTCTGATAGCCATAAAGCAGATTGGATTAAAAGAGAGCAGAGGGAGATGCATTGCAGTGTGGGGGGGGGGGGGGGGGGGGGGAGTGAGCATCGGGGAGGGAGGTGCAGGACCTGCCTGAGAGGAACACAGCAGAGGACGAGAAGGGGCTGTAGAGGCACCAGAAGGAGAGGGGAGTGTAGACGTTATGTGGCTGAGAAGGGAGAGGAGGGGGAGAAAGGATGATGTCAGGGGATCAGAGGTCCTCTGTCTCCGGCATGGAGGCCGTCTCAGAGAGGCGGGCGAGGACGCGCAGCATTGCTTTATTCTCAGCCAGGAGACACTCGTTCACCCTCCGCAGGGTCTTGGCCTGAGCCAGAGGAGGGAACGCCTGCACAGAGGAGGAGAGAGATACAGAAGGGCTGACAGAGAAAGCATGCAGGGAGGCAGGCCGTGTGCAAAGAGAAAGACTCACCCAGAGACAGATCCACTCACACAGGCACACGCCCACTCACTCACCCAGATAAGGGAAGAGAAATACAGAGCTGAGGGACTCGTGAGAAAAACTTATATTTACACAGGGAGATATTGAGAAGAAATAGCAAACGTTGCAACGAGCAAAGGAAAATATGAAGCCAGTTCTCCTTTGGGTTTGAGCTCATCAAACCTGGGCTGTAGAGTGGTGAGATGCAAAGGTGTTATGATATGCATAGCTTTGCAAATGAAAGGGAATATCTATTCTATAAAAAATGCATAACCTACATTTCTACTATTTCAAACGTTCGCAAGAGCCTGGTTATAAGTCAAGGGGGGAAAACTATGTATTCCCCTGTCCTCTCTACTCGGCCTACTTTTTGAGGTGAACCTCAATGTGGTTTGAAAGAACCATCTGTGGTTTGACGCAATTCCTGAGGGCAAACCACACACACACACACACACACACACACACACACACACACACACACACACACACACACACACACACACACACACACACCCCCACATACACACACACCGGGCTCTTGTTATGTTTCAGACTACCCAAACACAATTGTGTTGACATGAATTCAATTGACCCATGATAAATGTACCGATGATATCCAGCTGCTTCTTACAAAACCAAAACATAATGTATTAAAGACATTTGGAATCATTCTTTCATTCATTCAGTTTGATTTAATCTGGAAAGATTATGGAGAGCAGGCTCCATACAAGATTTACAGAATATTTAGCATGTGATAAAAACTAAACAAACACAGGAAAAGTCAGCTGTAAAAGGCGCCCTTGGCAAAAGATAAGCGAAAGAGTGAGGAGTGAGAGTGAGGCAAGAATGCATAATGAATCACACTCTATTGAGCTCTGTGATGTTAAATTAGATCTGACCAAACTCTCACGTCCTGTAGATAATTCAACAGAGTTGCTATTAATTAGGTTTCAGAGGCTGTCGAGAATAATCTTTCTAATGAAATGTGAAACCCTGCAAGCGGACACGCCAGACATGGATACTATTACAGAAGGGAAATGAAGTACAAACATGGCTATAGATGTAAATCAACTGAAATGACCTAAGTAAATAGTCATTATCCAACCCGTGCTTTCTACTGGAGATGAAGCTCATGTGTGCCATCTATAGCGAGGGAGTGTAATAGCTTTGGTTTGTTGACGCTTCTGTCTCCTGCAGACTCACAACTGTCAATCTCTTATATTACACGCAAAACAGCAATAGTTGTAACACTCTCACACAATGGTGTAAGTGTTTACAGCTCTTACTAGAAAACAACACTCATTTTTTTGCATCTAAAGGTGTTGCTTCTATTTTTCCTTTCCAAGTGACCTTGTGAGTGAGTGGCATTACATTCTATCTGAGCTTATCATGTGACGTATATATGTGGGTCCACACGTGTAAACATGCCTGAGTCTCTGAGAGCATAATAATGTGAAGGTGACAGGCAGGTGTCAATCACTTGTCTGCGTTTTAGCAACCACTCACCATCCCCCTCCCCCTGAGACACCCTGCTCTCAGGGCTGGTACCCACAGCGGAACCGCATTGGGGGGTCCTGCTGAGGGAACCACGACAACACGGGGGTCACATATTTGCTGGTTACAACCACCCTGATGTATGTGTCCTATTTATACTGTCCAGGTCACTGTCTGCATAGTGTACGTTCTCAGACTGGTGCTGGCATTTTATCTCTAATGAGGAGTATAACAATGTTGCTGTAATTTGCCATAACAATGGCATTATAATCGTATAGTGTCATGTGTGACAAATAAGACCGCGTCTGCCCAGGCCTGAATTCTGCCCTGTATTTCTTTGATGAAGCAGGGTCCACACAGTGCAGTGCAGGAATTCCTCGTCTTTTGTTCTTGGACAGGGTTTTGGTATTCAGCTGGAACTAGGTCACAATGTTCACCCCAACTGTGGGATAAGTGGAGCAGAGGAGCAGCAGCTCAGACTCCTCCTTGGCCTGGCAGGAAGTGGCCTAGCAGAACACTGTGGGTAATGAGCCTGAAGCATTAACCTTCCCTCTCCTTGACTTCAAGCCCACCTGGCTAACAACAACCCTGGAGTGTGCTAATATGTGTCTGTTTTGCTCTGAACACTTTAGGTGTGCTTGATTTAGCATGGGTAAGAGGGGCTTGGCTGGAGGTGTTCTTTCAAGCACTGTTAGTGTTATTATGGAGTCGGAGGGAAAAAAACATCCGAGGTAAATTCACACACAAGAGACAAAATATGCTGTTTAAACCCAGGGTGAGTATGCACAATTGATTTTCGCATGCACTGACCTTTATCTCATCCTCCATGTTTGACACTCTTTTCTCAAGAGCTTGTTTTTCCTGCAAATAAAAAAGGAAAAACTGAAATAAATATGATGAGTGAAACACAATGTTACGGTCTGAAGTAGTCAGGAAACATAGAGGGGAAAAATCGAAGAAAGCATTTGGTCATCCATCTTCATAGTGCAGGAGCATGATCTTGTAAAAACAACAAAATGCCAAAAGGTTTGTAAAGCACTTACCCTTTTCTCAGATTCGACCGCTGTAGATCTCTCTGATATTCTGTCGTGCCTCTGTAAAGTAAAATGATACTGTTATTTTTGAAGAACTGGAAGGATTATATTTATTTTGATCATGATTTCACTAAGTAATCAAACCCGCCTTATAGTTCCACACATACATGGAAGAGGATAAGGGTGAAACATCGAAATAATTGAGTTTTTTGTTTAGGTTTTTCTTTACCTGAGTGACTTTGTCCAGCTGGGAACGTATCTTCACCAGTTCCTGTTTGCTGTCCTGCAACCTGGACTTGAGTTTATCATTCTCATGCAATGCCTCTGCATACATCTGGAAGTGAACAAAATGAAGATTAAGGAAATGAAAGAAAGATGTTCAGATGTTCAGAGAAATGTTGGTTTTTCAATACCGTAAATTATTTTAAAAATATTCAATAACACATTAGTCATAACAACTAAATGTTATCAAGCAAACATATTTTCTTTTTTAAATGGTTTTGATATTTGTTTAGTTTTTGACAAAAAGGACAATTTATAATAAATATAGAAATAAGAGGTTACATACAATAACAAATATATACTTTTGTTCAATGGTATTTTTATTATTATTTTCAAATGTGCTATATTTTATGTTAATTTATTTAATAATTCAAGATGACACTTTTTTAGGCCATAGATGCCTCTCTTCAAAGCATTAGAGAACCACAGTGACGCGTCCTAAAACCCGGAAGTAAACTCCTTCCGGTCCCTTCGTCAAAAACCAATGCAATCTCTCCATAGGATTTTGGAAAATAGCTCGAAATAAGGTCTGTGGTTGAAACACATTTAAGAGACGGATCGCGTTTTGTTCAGCCGGATAATATCCACATGTCTACCCTACTTTTATCATTTTCGAATCGAACGTAAACTCTTCAAAAATCACCAGTGTTGATGTATGTAATGTCGTAGAACAAAACGTGATCTGTCTCTTCAATTTGTGTCAAACACAGACCTTATATCGAGCTATTTTCCAAAATCCTATGTAGAAATTGCATTGCTTTTTGTCGAAGGAACCGGAAGTGGTAAAAATGCTAACTTACTTCCGGGTTTTAGGACGCGTCACTGGCCGTTTCTCAATCTCGAGGATACTGGCTTCCAAGCCAATATTTCAAGGATGCTACGTCATCGAGTGCCGCCGAAGGACTGTTCCAATCTCCAGCATACTTGGAATTCCACCGAGGCTGCGTCCTTGGTTTGGGGGAAATTTCGAGATCCTTAAAATCCCCACAATGCTTTGCGCACGGACCAATTTAAAAAAAACCTTGCGGAGAATGGCTGAACCGACGCAGCACACATTTAAATGTAAGTATGTAGTGGCGTAGAACATGTAAATATGTTACTTTGTTACATTTGTTATCACCAACAATGTGTTCCGTGAAAGTAAAGCAAGTTCATAATTAGATAGACATCGTGAGGTAGGCCTATTTATTTTCGGTACAGTTTATGTTGAAACCGTTAGAGAGAGTGGCACACTTGTTAGCCTGTTCCATTCTTCTTCGTTTTCCGAAGCCGTGGCTTGGAAGTATACTTGCTTCGTTTCTGAAGGAAGTGACTTTGAAGTATGCGACTACCAAACCAGCATCCTCGCGATTGAGAAACACCCACTGCCTCGGGGTTGTTTCCACCGACACGGCTCTCATTTCTCCGTCGGCTAGTTGCTAACGGTTACAGCGCTAAACCGAAGACTGACCGTTAAGTTTTAACATGGGAAGAACCAAAAGCTAGTCAGTACCTGTCCGTACCGCGGTTGTCATTGGCAACCACCGTACAGTTGTGCGAAGGGCAAAGCTAGCCACACACAGGACTAGCATAATGTAAACGACGTACGGATTACAACGCTCACAGGGGTAAGCGACTTCCTTTTCTGCTCAGGTAAACATTGATATAAAATGTATATATACAGTCTATGGTGCAGACTGAAAACTTTTTTAATGTTTTGGCTCTATGAAAACCTGATGTACTTATATGATTCTGTTTTCTTCAAGTTTGTATCTTCTTAGTCGAATGCACTTATTGTAAGTCGCTTTGGATAAAAGCGTCAGCTAAATGCAATGTAATGAATGCATCCTTTCTGTGACAAAAACAAATCTTATTGTTAAATGTCAAATACTTTTTTTCAAGATTTCAAATGATACTGTCAACATCTGCTTCCCCTTATATTGGAATGTTCTTAAAATAGACAAATCTACCTGGTGATCCATCAGCTTTCTGTACCACATGAATCATTCAGAAATCATTTTAGAAAAGAAAGATTGTGCTTGTTTGAAGTGAACTGAGGTAAGAGTTTACCTTCTTATAGTCTTTGGTAGTGGGGTCTTGCTCTGCTCTGTTCAGAGCAGCCAGCCTCGTCTCTCTCCGAGTGTAAGAGCTGGTTCGGCCCAATGGTTTGTCTGTTACACTCTCCCCACTGGAGTCGTATCTAAAAGTAACACAATCAGTCCACACTGCCACTTTATTTAGGGCATTCATTTCAGATTTCTCTCAGGAAATGCAGTTTCATATTACAGGAGAATCAAAAACAAAGCCAAATTCTTACCGTGACAGTCGTTCATGCTGAAAAACAAAACAAAAACATGTTAGTGTGATCACTCAGCAGCTCAGCATGAAAGCAACAGTGAGAACAAAAAAGTCTGTCATGGTTTGATACCGATTTTTACATTATGATAAGACCAAACAGAGGCAATGTGATATTTTCCCTTTTGAGACCACAGAGAACAAAAACAAAACTTCCAAGTGAATTATCCCAGCGTGTTCAGAGACCTGAAGTCTCACAGGGAAGAAATGTGTGCAGGAGGGAGATATAATTCACTTAAACACTGCACTGACAGGGTTCACGTGGGTCAAACCTCCCCGGTGAGCGCGGCTAATCTTTTAGAGCAGGCGGCTGCCACGCAAAAGCCTGCAGTATAAAGATGACATCATGACATCGGGAGCTAAGTATCCTGTGTGTGATGGGTCGATGCCTGACCTCAGACAGCAGACTGATAGCAGGCTGTCCTGGAAGGCCTTTGCTATGACTAGTCCAGTCTATGGCTGCCAAGTTGCCTTTTGTATTCACATACTGAATTTGTTTCCACTTCACCAAGGAATCCTGATATTGTGATACGTTCAGAGGGGTTGTGTGTGTGTTTTTTTGTTGTTGCTGGATTTCAATCAAGTCAGTTTCCAGAATCTATAATACTTCAAAGTTGTGCATATAATACATGTTCTGGTAGGTGTAATTTATGTCTACTGCCTCCCTGTGTTTATGCACGATATACGCTGTGTGCAAAGGGTTTCCAATCTCATAATTCACGTTTATTCAACCATTCAGCCAGGTTTGTTCCTGCACTGAACAAATAGATAACTCACTGCCATCAGCTGATAAACGTGGCGCATGAGAGGACCATGACTGCAAGTGTTTACTATCAGTTAGAGACAGGAACAAAGAGGGAGGTCGTAATGTGAGTCCAGACTGCACCAGAATGTCTTCACAGTATTCAAGGCAGTCGAGTAGACTTTACTTTCAAATTAAGTTCAAGATTTGGAGTTGCTGCTGGCCAGGGAAAGAAGGCTTTAAACACCTCTGATTAGAAATAAAAACAGCAATAAACGACTTGTGTGGTGGTCCTGTTGGAAACAAAGAGCAGATGTAGACTGCATTAAAAGCTTCGGCTTTATGGGGGAATCATTCATGTCCAAAGGAACACAGTGCACAGTTACTACGGCGCTCACATTTAAAGAGTTGGGGGATTTTTCATGCTGCATCGAAGGAGCTATTCCTCAGCAAGTGTTTACATAACTCAACCAGTGCTGCCTGTCCTTATGTGGTCATGAGCTTATGCAGAGCTATCCAGGAAAAAACAGACCTCTGTGACCTGAGATGAAAAAGGGCCGAAGCCATAAAGAGCTCTGTCTCACTCCAGTGTCTTTGTGCAAGGCTCAGAGGATGCCTCGATCAGATTTGGTGTACGTTCATTAATCAACAGGGTCGATTAGTCCCCTGGGTTTATGAATAAATCATCATGACGTCTTCTTTTAGGGATGTGAACTGTTACACAGACCTTCACCAAACTCTTTTGAGATGATGAGTTCCTGTACACAAACCAATTTCACACTAGGGGATTAGCAAATTGGTGAAATTAGATTTTTCAAAAACATAATTCCACTTACATCTTAAGCAAGCCCGGTGGGATTCACAGGACCTGATTGTTAGTGGAAGAGTAATGCTTACAGTAATACACGCTGCTGTCTGAATCTTGAACCTTTTTGCCCAAATGTAACCGAAGCCAGAAACTGAATCATAGCTGCTTTTCTATTTCTGCTGCACAGATGTGATTCCCTTGTTAGGAGCAACAGAGGCAGAAGTGACAGACTGTGTGTGGCAGGGCACATCAGCCGAGACAATCAACCAGGGGGGGGGGGGGGGGGGGGGGGGGGGGAGAAACACAACAGGGTGTCAGGCTGATGGAAACAGCACACAAACGGGTGCATGTTTGAACCACAGGCGCTCTGTAAACACAACTGCCTCCAGTTTTATGCTTTGCCAGGACCAACATCATTCACCCCAGGGGGGAGTCGGAGCTATATACATGCAGACCCCCCCCCCCCGCCTGAGCTCACTGCTACAGTATATAAACCATATTGTTAACAGCAGCTCTCAGGAGCCAATAAAATCATCATTAGGGGACGCTTCCCCTCATTCTGTCACAGCATCATTCCTTCAGAGATGACTGATTTTGCAGTAGGAAGGTCTGAGGCACACACACACACACACACACACACACACACACACACACACACACACACACACACACACACACACACACACACACACACAACCATAAAAAAGTGTCTTCAACATGTTTTCACTTGTATTACTTCAGCCTTCTATATTACATTATTACAGTTACCTTTATCTTAGCCTTGTTTTCTATTCGATAGTACTGACTCAAAATGCTCCACATACAGTGTTGATAGTACATGGATTCCCACAATATACAAATGACTTAATTACAGTTAAGACCTGTACAGTATGTAGAATCCTTTTTAATACAAACAAAAGTTTGAAATCTACAATAACCATATGATTGCACTAATTCTGCCAAAAAACGACCTTGTTATGGCTTTATAATAAATGATTGGTTTGGTTGTATTGGGGAGATGAAGCTTGTTTGAACTTCTTTAAACACAGTTAGTTTAGTCCAATGCTTCCCAAACTCTGGTGCAGGCCACTCCACATGGTCACAAGGTATCTGTGGTTATGAAGAAGAAAAACCCAAATCCTGCCACACATTTTTTGTTGTTGTTATGACTATTCTCTAACCCTTGCTTTGTTATAAAATATTGGTTTACCTCTTTGGCCTAAAAAGGTTATCTAAATGTTTGTAAAAATTAATAAAAAAAGCCTTAATTTTTGGACCCAGTGCTTTAATCTTTAATCACGTGTTATATTTCTTAAGCTTGTAAATACATGTTTTTGTTTAAAATTATAATATGAACACATACAAGTATTGAAGCTAGTGGATACATTAAGTCCAGTGTAAAGTTCTTCTTGAATGTAGTAGATTGCAAGTATAAAGTAGCATAAAAGGAAATACTCAAGTAAAGTACAATTATACTTAAGTACGTACTGTATATGGGACATTTGGTTACTTTCCACCACTTTGACCAACTGCCAAATGATGAGTCATCCAATGATTTAAATGTGCACCTGATGACATGTCTTGCTTCTGCTCACAGCTGTGAAACATGTTGTATTTTACACAAGAGGACCAGGTTCTCATCGAAACATGGTAAGTGCTAAAAATACTGCATTAACTTGATTCCACCCCCCCCCCCCCCCTACCCATTGTATCACATTTTCTCTCCCATGAAAACTCAAACCAATTCTGATTCGTCTGACATCATGGAAAATGAACGCTTGAGTTTCACCATGGATACAGCACAGAGAAACTGACAGTCTAAAAAAAAAATGCTTCAGATAAATGACACTGGTAGCATTCATTGTGTTGGAATGAAAGTCTGTGTTACATAATATTAGATGAGCTAATGTGTGCATCTGGAAAAGACAGGTTCACTTCATATGTCTGTGTTTCTTCCTATCTCTTTAAACGTGGCTGTCACACAGAGTAGAGCTCAGTCCGCCGCACTGACATAAACATAAGAGTCAAACAACGCCCAGGAGAATAAGCCACTTAGGCCGTAGAAAAAAGAACAGGAAATTACAGAAAGAACATTTCAATCCAAAAGTCCTTTCCAGAAAATGTGCTCAGACTCTCAGAGCAAATACTCGCCTGTCTTACACGAGTCATCAGATAAACTGAGATGAGTGGTTCAAAACGACTTCATCATTGTAATAAACTAATTGAGGGAAATGGGAGTGGCGGATTATTCAGGCAAATGCACATCATCTAGAAAATCCTGTTTATGAAATGTTGAAGTATCTGCCGGTGTATCTGAACATGCTGCACACTTCTAAACACAAATACTTTCCAAGGTCTGCCATTATTTCATTATTTTCAATTATTATCAGTAATCTGCTGGTTTAGAAGTCATCGCTTGTCCCTAAAAATAGCATATTTAGCTTGGAAAAATTATAAACAATTCATAATTGATTGCAAATAACTGAACATTATTTTAAAACTTTAATCTGCACATGTTTTAGGTTCTACCCAGAGCTTTTGCTGTCTTGTGTTTACATTTCTTTAAGATTTTCTCCCAGGAAACGTAACTAGTTTATGCATCGATCACTTAGAACCATGTACATATAAGCTCCAGTGTTAACAGGCCAAATAATTACATTTTAAAAAATGTAAAAGTTGTGTTTCTCTGTATGATGCATTTCTGGTCTTACTCTGTAGTTTTTGTCAGTAGCGGACGGAGAGGTCGGCGGTGAGTCTGTCACTGACTTCCTGGTGCGGGTCAAGTCCTTGGTGCGGGGGTAGTAGGTTGACATCCCCCCCTCTTCTCTGGAGCGGCGGCTCAACTTCTTCTGTAACACTCAGCGAGACCACCACAGACAACAGCTGCCGAGACGCACCGTTTCCCTCAAGCAACAGTGACGCAGATGCCCATGACAGCGCTCCCGGGGAATCCTCAGCAACGACAGGTGTGTGGGTATATAAGTGTGTGTGTGTCTCAGTCCAGATTCACACTCCTATGAGCTGGAGAGAGCTGCAGCTAAGTGTGTTTCAAATGTGTGCCCACGCCTTCCTCAAAGTGCAGCGATAATCAGATAAAAGTGCAAAGATCAACAAAGCAAATTAACTTATGTTGCTCACACAAACATGGAAATAACTCTTTAACTAGTAAAGCAAACAAATGATCCTCCCTAGTCTCCGCTCTGTCCACACTGAGGTATTTGGTGAAATGTGAAAAAGTCCAAATGGAAGCAGCCAAGAGAGAAAAGTTTGTTCCCTTTGCTGCCTCTTGCTATGTTCCCCAAAGTTATACACCCGCTCTCTCTCCATCTCCCTGCCTTGCTTTCTATCTCTCCTTCCCCTTTCACTGCTTGGTCGCCCTCCTAGTCCCCCCACCCACCCTCTTCAGCTTTGGCAGTCTGCCAAAAGCTCTGCAATGGCTGGACTCGTCACTGAGGGCTAAAATTGTCCAGTGATGTGGACGGGGATAAGGGGGAACGTGGATCACAAAGCCTCAGATGGAGGGGGAGCTGCAGCAGTCTGTGTACAGGGAGGTCCCCCCCCCAACACACACACACACACACACACACACACACACACACACACACACACACACACACACACACACACACACTCACACACACACACTATTACCTGAGGAGACATCAACATCCTTGCAGTATCAAGTGACTCCTTACACCCCGCGGTGCGATGGAGCTGAGATGCTGTTAGTATGAATGTTATGCAGTGTTAACACCAAGCACTCGTGGCACATTTCCTCTTACCAAAATGGGTTTCATTTAAATTAAGTCATTGGTGATTACGTTCTACATCTGTAATGATTATGTTTTCATCCTGTGGCCCAATGTAGTTTGTAAAAATACGAAGACATGGTTGTATCTTTTTTTTAAGACTTCATCTAATTAAAGAAATGGTTTTAAGCTAAGATAATATGAACCTTCATTAAGAAATGCAGTTGTTTAAGAATAGATAATCCTCTTTCTTAATTAGAGTTAGATGAAGAGATCTACAGCAGTGGTTCTCAACTGGTCAGGCCTCGAGACCCACTTTTTCCTTAGTCAATAGACATTTTGAAGCACTCAAATCTATTCAACAAAAAATCGTGCTGTAATATATACGCTTTTCAGCATACATTATTAATTAAATTGAAGTACAGTGCATACATCCCTTATATCCCTTCACAGAACAAAATAATGCTTTTAAGGCGAGACACGGCAGGCAAAAACATCGTTTTTCAAGTACTGGTACATTTTGAGATTTTGTGCTATTTTGATTCTATAACGTGTTTTCTTTCAGGCTTTTGGAAGGAAAACGTACAAAATACACATTTAAGTGTTTTATTTTACTATTTGCGTCTGTAGATTTCTCCTAAATTCACCAAAAGTTAGCATTCTAACATAACATAAAGTACCGCGACCGCTGTGTGCACCATGTCAACAGAGGTATCGCTGGAAAGCTGTGTCTCTCCTGCACAATCTCATCGGATCCAAATATGGTCATTTCCTTTGTATCAGCAACCAATCGTGAAAGCACAAAGGGGTCTTAAACCAAGAAACAAAATCTCATTGGCTGGTGTCAATTTCTGACAACGTGATTCGTTCAGATGCGTCACGTGATGTGCTAAAACACTTCCTGGTTAGCTTTCAGCTAGAAATTGAAATCTCAAAATGGCAAAAGAACGGCGAAAAAAACGTTCACAGAGAAGACAACAACAATTGTCACTTGCACGAAGCAAGGTTATACAAAAAAGAAATGACCCTGAACATGAAATACCTTCACGGAGTGCGTCGATGCGCATGCTGTCATCCAAAGAACAGGAGGGTTTAGCTAGCGCCTCACTGCAATCTTTAAAGGTCCTTTTCTCAAAATGAGTTGTTTCTCCTACTCTGAGTTCGAAATTTCAACTTCAGTAGCACATAGATACACCAAACCTTCCAGTTATATTCCTATCAATATTATGAAGGCTTTTACCGAAGGGTTTGTTCATATATCATTCATAGCCTGAATTATACAACATTGTATACCTAAAAACATGGCGAGAATTGATATTTTAGGGCTGTTGACAGTATTTTCTGATTTATGGAGTGATAAAAAGAGATATCCAATATCCCTTCTGTAAAAGCCTTAGATACTAATATGACTACAAAATGAAACAAGAATTTTGAATCTGGCTATATCCAAAGTTCAGATTTTGATTCCTGAAATGTGTTAAAATATGTGCATATTTAATGAGATAATGGGTAATTTGCATATTTAAACATGCTATTTCAGAAAACTTGTAATACAAAAAACAATTGCCTTATGTAAGTAATTAACTGGAGAAATTTCTAGCTGATACTTTTAAGTTAAACAAATTACCCTATTCACCTGGGGTGTCTCGCCTTAAAAAAGGTTTAATGAGATGATGGAAGCAAAGCTGAACTGATTTTTTAGAAATACTAACATATAAACTACGCATTCTGGTACACTCTGAGAAGAAAATAAATACATCTATTACTACCCGACATATTAATACTATTTTATGCCATTGTTTGTTTTTCACTTTGTTCTGACAGCTTGCTGCTCCACACAGAGAGAAGAGCAACGAGGGGATAGTCTGTGTGACTTACTTTAAATTGTGGGTAAGGCTAGATAAACCATTGTTTTGTGACCTGTCAATCATATTTCATTTTTATCTGAAGTTGTACCCATGGATGTATAAAGAATAGTTCTACCGCAAAGTTATTCTCCGTGGGGACTTCCGGCAACAATCTTGATTCTGATTGCCAGAAGACTGGAAAAAACATCAGCAAAGATGTTTTATTGAGAAGACGATCACTAGTTTTCAAAACCGTTTTTCTTCACTCACACATCTGCGACCCACTCGAAACGGGTCTGCGACCCACTTTTGGGTCGAGACCCACCAGTTGAGAACCACTGATCTACAGTATACCTCTCTCATTTTAGTACAATAAATACCGTATGAAGCTAATGTCAGCAGCTGATTAGCTTCGTTTCCGTTATTTTATTGTAAAAAAGGGAAGCGGTAAATGGTAGCATTTAATAGTCACATTATAAGTTTAACAGACAGGAAATAACATTTTGAATTGTGAGCTTTAAAGTTGCTGGTAGAAAGATATTATTTCTTTTCAAACAGAGCTAGGTTAGCTGTTCCCCTCTGTTTCAAGTCTTTATGCTAAGCTAAGCTAACCAGCAGCTAGCGGTTACTTAATTTTTACCACACAGACATGAAAGAGTTGTTCGGATCATTTTATGTAACTCTTGGCAAGAAAGTTAACAAGCGTATATCCCAAGATGTCTGTTCCTTTAAACAACCCCCCCCCCCCCCCCCCCCATATTCTCTTCCCATAATCTTCAGCACAGGCCGGCTCATGCTATCTTCCTTTTATAGTGAGGTACGCATCACCTCTCTGTTCCTAAACTCCCTAATACTTGCTCAGGGCAAAAAGATCAATGGAAAGATAAAAAACACAGGAGGAGAGAAAATAGAAAGATGGAGAGAATTTGAAACAGAATGAAGGCGATAATAACCCTGATAAATCAAACAAAGACTGCCATGATGGGATGTGAACAACCATCCACACATGGCATTAACACAGAGGTGCTAATTAACCCTTGAGTACCCTTACTTACCTCCTAAGCTCCTCTGAAAAGGTTGATGTGTACAGCTTTTGTTCCTACATTATAATGGGTTGTGTCAATGTGACACGTGGGCTTTAGTGACGGATTGTTTAAAAACTGAATTGGCCACAATAACCATCTTGTAAACAGTTTATCTCTAATATATGTTCTACCATCTGTAGCGAATACGACTTGGTGGGAGTGAGCAACATTGGCACTGTTGTTGGTGAGTTTATTTAGAGTCAATCCCAGTATGATTGCACCCTTAGTTTCCTGGACTTTGGAGATATTATTCTTGTGTAACTCATGAACACAGGAAAACTCCACAAGAGTTACTTGAGTTTTGGAGTTACCAGCAAGAATCTAATCAAAAGTGGTACTGTAAAGTAGAATTGGCTGTAAAGATAGTCTTGGTAGTTCTATATCCTGTTAATTCCCCGTATCATAATCGCCACCATCTCCAAGAATCTAGCAGGCAGCAGAGCCTCTTCGCTCTACACCTGTCTATCTCTCTGCGGCTGGAAGTTCCTGTGGAAAATCTGCTCAGACCATCAAGGAGTCAGGCAGAGGTCGGCTGTGCTGATGGGCAGCCTGTCCTGCTGCCAGTGAAACCTCGCTGCTCGGTATGATTATCACAGACAGATATAGTCCTCTCCGTAACGCTATGAGACTCGTGTTACTAACAGATCTGTTTCAGATTCCACCGTGGAGGAACAGCTGACCTGGAGTCAGCTCACAGGCAAACTATATCCCCTCTAATCTATACCCTTATCATCCCTGTGTCCCCTATCATTTCTGTTCCCTGTATCTTCTTTTTCAGACATACAGATTAGCAGTATATCCTCACTGAAAGTGGATCACACGCAGCCCGCAGGTGGAGGATCAGTTTAGAGGGTGAAAGAGACAAGAAATTCACTCTGAATCCAAGGCTAAGACTGAGCAGAGTGCGTCTCAGTTGGCCCAATATGGTATGGTATGCCGAGACACCTCAGCCATGTGATGTGAGAAAGCAAAGCGACTAAGAGAGAGGAGGAGGGGGTGGCTGGTCCTCCTGGACTGTCTTTCTAAGAGAGAGGAGGAGGGGGTGGCTGGTCCTCCTGGACTGTCTTTCTGTGAGACATTAAGCAGCGCTTCTAGTTAACAGAATCTCTGAACACATGCTTCACAGCTACGATTGCGGTGCATCTCAACATATTTCATCAGAGAGAGGGATTGGCTGCCTTTGAAGCGTATTTAGCTTTGGGTGTAGGAAAGACAGGATGTGAAATATGAAACAATGGCGCTAATGAATATCAAACCGTTAATATTGTGGGAAATAAATCTCAGCTCTGAAGTATTCAGATGCCTTTTTTATATACCATTTTGATGATATATTAAGTATGAGCCAAATAAAACATCTTAAGGGATCTTAATGTATAAGAGTATTCTGTATAAAGTGAGCTGGAAATATTCACTCTAGGCATGGCATAACAAAATAGGGACATGTTTTGGCTCCATCTAGTGGTACTACAGAAAACCAACAGGAAACTACTCAACAGCCAGCAACTGAGGGATTGCTTTTCTTTTTCTTTCTATGATTTATAAGCATGCTTTTTCCCCCCACAAACCTCTGCAGTGTTGTATTCTGAACGCTCACAGAAATGTCGTTTCTGTTGCAGCGTTGCAGCAAAGGTCATCTCTGCTGCCGTTTCAACAGGGTTCTGATTTTCATCTCTCCACATCCTCTCACCCGCTGCAAATAGGATGTAAGTACACGCATCTATGAATCACTGCTGAAAACAAACAATGACACAACACTCAATGTTGGAGACCCAGGCCCTCTTTCTTAGCTAAAAGAAATATACATAACATCATTTGTTCCCCTTGTCCTCTTATAAGATAAGATGTACTTTATTAATCCCAATTTGGGAAACATATTTAAAACAAAACAAGGCATTGCACATAATAACAAATTAAAAGTCTAGTCAAAAACTAGTTAAGTGATCACATGATTCAGTAGATTGCCCAATTTGTGAAATATATATGACCATCTTTGCAAATATCATGATTATATAGCAATAGAGACTGTGATATCCCAGAAAAGGAGGAAATGAAGACAAAACTATTTCAATGAAACCCACACAAACATGCACACACTGACCTCTGAATGAGGTGTTGCTGAGCAGGCCACAGGATCCAGCAACAGACGAGTATGGAAGGTTTGGTACTGGAGACTCAGCGACGGCTTCTAACCTGGGTTCAATGTTTCCCTGCTGCACTTACATAAGAGAAACAATTAATCTGAGACGTCCTCTAAAGTCACAAACTAATCACTTCTGCAGAGAAAAGCCTATATTCACAAGTTCCTTTTACTTACATCGTCCATTTTGCTCCATTTCGTGCTGATCTCTGTCCCTGTGGATTCTGTCGGGCTGATTCTGACCCTCCTGTCATCGGAAGAGCCTTTCCTCAGACAGATCCCTTCCTCTGTCTGTCTCTCAGCTGGAGACGCTCCGGTGGTCTTCTGAGCCTCTTTAAGGTCTGTCAGAGTCACGCCCTGCAGGGCAGTCATACAGCTTCATCTGTCAACAGCCAACACACAATCCAATAAACCCTGAGCCTCTGTCAGCCACGTGTTGTTTACCTGTGTTGACCTCCGGGTCTGTCTGGCATGACGAGACTTCGCTTTCCTCTGAGACTCTGCTTCTTCATCCCTCACCGGGGTCAGGTATGACCTGGGTGGGTACAAAAATAACCGGTAACGTAATTCAAATAATAGCACTTTAAAGGGGCACCCAAAGAAATATACACAAAGAACAGAAGACGGTATACAAATTCTGTTCAGGGCAAATAGAGCAGACAGAGACAAACCCTAATCCTTATCAATCAAACTCTTTTGTTATGTTTTACAGTGCTGTGACTTGTTAAAATCAACAATGGTGTTATCAAATACTTAAACATTAAATGGAGCAACCGTAATGAGTAAGATACTAATTCGACCTGAATAATATTATAAGTCAAACCCAATCCAAAAATACTTTTATTAGTGTTAAACACTTTCAACTATGTTCAATATGTGCAATATATATGTCGTTAATAACTGCAATATATACCTGGCTGCTAAATCCTAAGAACTGTTACAGGATGTGTATTTTGTAAATTGTGTAACTTTAATTGAATTCTATTTCTTATTATATTGTAACTTTTTTTTTAACTGTAATACTTTTTTCTGCATGCTTCTACGTAACATTAAGCTGTCTTTGGCTCTTTTTCTGCTGCAACAACGTACATTTTCCTTCTGTGGGACTAATAAAGGTATTCTGATTTTAATTTATAACTGCTAGGCTCACTTACACTTCATTTGCAAAATGTGTTTGACATAATAAAAACTGTTGACATTTTAAAAATAAGCGATCCTCTTTGAGACAAGCCACACAATTAGATTATATAAAAGGACTGGTTAAAGTCGATATGTATAAGTCTTATATATATGTCCTTGTGGCAGTTGATCACTATGCTAAATTGGTAATACAGCCTTATTGTGTTGATAGATATAACGCTATACAACATTTTTAAGATTGTGAACAATTTATAATATACCAGGTACATCTTTATTATTAAAAATGCCCAGCAGCCACAATCCTCAACCTCCTGCTGAGTCTCCTTAATTGTCCCTTATGCTGGTGTAACACCCAGCTGGTTTACACTCTTTAATAGATTCCCCCCGCATTATGCACCATCTCAACAGGAAGTAGATCAAATTATAGAGGCAAGAGGTTTTGAAAATGCATTTTCATCGTGTCCTCAAGACCTCAGCTCGATTTCCCCAAGAGTCTTAACACACACACAGAAAGAGCTGAGCAAGCATCAGTGGAGAGGCTCATGTTTTACACAGAGAGCTGACCGCCCTGCTCTGCTACGCTTTACTGCTATTGATCTCACCGGGCTGGAGTCACCCTGAGTTCTGCCTGAGAGTCAGCGAGCTGCTCAAACCTAATGTCTAATGTAGAAAGCATAGCATATGGACTATAGGGTGATCCCACAAAATGACACAGTAAAATACCCCACAATAAGCTAGCTCCCAAACAGATCCACAGCAGATGAGTTGCGTTTAGGCAAATGTTCCTCTTAAGCAAACTTAATAAGAATGTTAGTAATAAATATGCTAAAATAGTTGCTAAGAATAATATCCCTGAGCCAATAATTACTTATGTACATAAAAAGCTAATCATGAGTGGGACTAATTTACAGCCCCTAAAGTAAACTACAGGCTCCCATTACATCAGTTCAAACAGGCCCACAGCACCTACTCAGAGAATAGTTCCCACACGTTAAGATGACAAACATGAGGACCAGGAGCGATGGCAGGCTGAAAATAAAGATTTTGAAATATAACAGCATGACTCAGTCCTTCTGAAACTTACCTTGGAACAAATGCTTGCATGGTGCCTGTGGAAGGTCAGAGAGTGAGGAGCAGGGATACTGCAGCAGTGCTGAGTGGGAGAGGCTGAACACAATGACTGTTACCGGCGAGTGGAGAGAGAGAGGGAGGGAGAGACTTCCTGTCCATCTGAATGATGTGCATACAATCGATGTAGACCCTCTGCCAATGTCTATTGCAAGCAAGCTAACAGTACACACTTTGGTTCAGTTGAAAACTTGTGCAGCAAACACAATGTTGATTGTGGTAATATTTAATAACTAGTGTTGGGTAGTAGTTAATTACAATTTGCAGTAGCTTTCTTGTAGCTTTACTGCATTTTAGTGATTCAAGAGATTTTTTTGCCAATTTTTATGTAGTTACTTACTGAACTTATAAACAGTTTTGCCCATTAATTAAAACAATTATGTTTATTTTACATTGTTTCCATGCCGTAACCACCTTGATTCAGCTTTGACTGATGAAAAGGGGCTAATTTTCAGGTTCATATTTGTATTTTGTGCCTTTACTGTGACATGTTTACCTCTTTTCACCCTCTGTCAGAAACCAGAGCCCAGTCTGCTCTGATTGGTTAGCTGGCTGTCGGAAATGCCAACGCCTTGGCCTATCACGTACAATTTGTTGGAGCGTTGGCCAATAGAAGCGCAAATGGTACATAGTGATGTTACTTAAGAAAACAAAGGAATCCAATGGAGTGTTTCAGGCAGGAGGGGAGTGTGTGGGAGAGAAACTCGTTCTGGAAGGAACTTTTAGTTTTTAGCCTTTGCAGACCAATTACATGCACAACAACCTATATGACACACCACAGTGAAGAGAAACCTCCCAAAACCATAACAGGGCGGCTTCAAAGATGCATGTTGAAGACTGTTTTAGTCAAGATTGCACAAGTCAGTTACAAAACTGACAACTAAGACAACAGGCCTTTGTTTGCAATTTTGCTTTTGTATTACAAGTGAACATAGGTACAAATCTAAGTGGCATGTTTTATTGGCATCCAACCATTTTGTTTTATTTATATAAGTTGTATGTTATATTCCCATGTTAGTGTGTTGCAATCTCCTTCTGTCACAGCATGGTGAAACCTAGAACGCCCAGTTATTCATTCATTCAGTCAAACACACATTGAGGGCTCAAGTAGCATGCACAACACATGCTTTGGTCATGTGATGACATAACTCTATCTTCCCTGCAGTGTGCAAGGGGGCACGACCTATTCAGTCAAACAAAAAATGCAAAGCTGGCATCTGTTCTTTGGGGGATATTTAGGTTGCAAACAGCTGCAAAACAGTGCAAATTACAGTTACCCCTAAAACAAAATGTGTTGCACATAATTCTACAGTTGAAAGATTGTTTCCTTCCAAAGTATATATGCACATAAAACACATTATAAACAGGAATAAATACTTCATTTGTTAGGGACTATTTCCGTCTTTGGGCTGGCTGTTATAGTGAGCATTTTCATCGCAATAAATCAATGTTGTGTTTAAATAGATTTTTGGATACAACCTGAACTCTATAACACTTAGGGTTGAGCTATATCAGGCTTTGGCCCTGAAGACATCCAACTCCAATTTCTGTTAATGTAATATGATCAATATGAATTTTGTATGGCACAACCGCACAGAATCAAGTATACAAAACTCAAAGAACCAAGGTTTATTTTAAAAACATGAATCTCATACTGACAGTAACCAATGTATTGGCAAAAACGGCATTTTGTAAAAGTGAAAAGTCTCAGTAAATTGTACAGTGGCGCCCAGGTCTTATGATACCAAGAACTTACAGAATGGCTACAGAAACACATTACACATGTTTGAAGCATGACCATGTACACATTTGTCATGTCTCCAAAGAGGTAATATTAAAACAACACATTAGATATCATTATTAGTTGATATGTCTATTATTTGCCCTAAACACATTATTTCTACCTTATTTGAGAATTCACATTATCCAGTTGTCTTCAGAACATATTAGAGAACTTGAGTCTTGTGATGAGACCTTATGTGTTGTCCTTTGTTTGTTTCTATTGTTCCCAGACATGTTCAGCCGAGTTCAGATCTGGTGACGTTTCGATCCAAGTTTCTGGTTCAGTGGAAGTTTCTTCTCCTTAAACGTCCAACATGACTCTGCAGTGTTAGGCAGTCCTTCTGTTGGCTTGCTCTAACCTGTCATGTGGCGGTCTTCACACACAAGCTCTACATGTGCAGCTGTAATGTTAACTCATTGGTACCAACAGTGATGATTTTATAGCAGTTTTATTCCTAAAAGCTGTTTTAAAAGTTACAGAAAACTGCTTTTTTTCCAAACATTATTAAAAGGGACAATAATTCATATAATCTCTGTTTGTATTGTGGCTCACAACAGCATTACATGATGCATAGTCTGAAGAGAAATTAGAATCTGAATAAAAAGTAAGAAATCAGTAGGATGATGTTACTGAAATAGTTCTTGGTAGAGGACTTTAAGACCACTGTATATTACAAACTACAGGTGTCTGGGTGTAATCAGTTGAAGGAAAGTGCTGGGTCAAAGCAAACCTCCAGTTTTTAAAGCACTGAAACACAGTACTTTCAAAAGTTAAAAAAAATCTATCAACTACAGTTTGTCCTATATTTTAAAGACAGGAATAGTTCTTGTTTATCTCATCAAAGATGCTTTTTTTTAATTATTTTGTTAGCTCTTTAGTTGCCCATGTTGTCTGTGTAAACAACTGGGAGACATTTAGTTACTGTAACAAAAACAGGCATTACTTATGGCTTCAAGTGCATTGACAAACAGTTTAGGCAGTAACTTCTTCTTATGGCATTGGCTTTGAGTTTTCCAGCTTATTACAGATACTAAATTTGACAAAGTGTGATTGATGAAAAGCGGAAAAGGCTCTGTAGAAAGACAAGTCATTATTTGATGGATTAAGGCTTCTGAGGTTGTTATTGGCAGGAACACCCTGAATCACCCATTTCCAAACTCATGTTTTGAGGTCCAGCGTAGTGACTAATTTCTTCTGACTGAGGTCTGCCTTTCAAAGAGCAACCATGTAATGAAAACGGCACCAAAACAACAGCAATCAATAATGCCTTCTACAGTATCTGTCCTATTGTTGACTGTGATTTTGTACTGAGAAAAGTTGCCATTCTCCTTTCTTGATATGTCCTGTGTGGAAATGTTTTCCTTTCCGGCGATATGCACTCTGTAAAATAGGAAAAAACAAGAAATAATTAGTGATATCACAGATGTACTAGAAGTTTTCTCACTATAATTTCACTTACATTCATCTTCTGGTGAAGCATCATTTTCTAATGGCTCCTCTTCTTCATCCGTCTCTTCCGCCTCCTCTTCAGCTGCTACATCCTGCTGTTCTTCCTCTTCTTCTAACACTTCCTTCTCTTCCAGTCCCCCATCTCCTTCAGACACCACCTCCTCTGCTTCCTGGGTCTCCTCTACAGACTCCTCTTCCTCAGCCTCCTCTGCAGGAGCAGCTTCATCTGTCACAGAGTCCTCCTGCTCCACAGGGGCTACTTCCTGTGCAGCTGCCTCTTCTTCGCTTTCCTCTCCTGCTCCTTCTGCCTCAGTATTGGCTGCCTCTTCTTCTACATCTGCAGGAAGTTCCTCCACTTCTTCAGGTGCGGGAGCTGCCTCTTCCTCGACTGCGGGAGCTGCCTCTTCCTCGACTGCGGGAGCTGCCTCTTCCTCGACTGCGGGAGCTGCCTCTTCCTCGACTGCGGGAGCTGCCTCTTCCTCGACTGCGGGAGCTGCCTCTTCCTCGACTGCGGGAGCTGCCTCTTCCTCGACTGCGGGAGCTGCCTCTTCCTCGACTGCGGGAGCTGCCTCTTCCTCGACTGCGGGAGCTACCTCTTCAGCTGTTTCTTCCACAGGCTACAGCAATGGAAAGCAATCAAATACATCATGAGTTTTTAGAAGACCACAGTCTGGACCTCAATCATGTCACAATCATTTACAAGTGTGCTACTTGGACATCTGTAAACAGTATATGAAAAAATGACAAACAAAACTATAATCTACAGTATATACTGTATGAAGGTAAGTGTAGATGTGAATCCCTCGGAGATACCATGCCAGGCAATTAGCTTCTTCAAATTAATGAGATGAAACTCTCATTAGAGTTCCCTTTGGGCACACAGTGAACAGAAATAGTAAGGAGACCATGTGTGCTGACAGTTTGTGTGCTCATGCATGCTCTGAAATTAGAGATATTCAACAGTATAAACTGCTTCTTAAATTTTAAATTTTCAAACTTTTTTTAAAGCCTAATAAGGCTTACACATCTTTCTATACAGAGACATATCTTAAGTCTGGTTACAGGCCTCTAAACAACCCTACATATCTTAGATTTGTTCAGCAATTTAGGAATGTCTTTGTATTGAGAGATATTATAGTTTAAGTATGATTAGTCGACCAATCAGAGTTTTGTGGGAGGGATTAAAAATGTCAATCTTCCTGCATATCTTGCTGCAAAACCAATTGCCTGACATGAGAACACTGTCACGCTAGCGATTCAGTCTGATTATCAGGGCGAATATGATTCGCTTGTGAGTTGGTTTCCTAGGTAACCTGCTCCTGTATGTTCTGCAGCTGAGTTTTGATCCTGCAGACTCTGACGTACCGTTTCGATCTGTTCCTCCACGCTGCCCTGCTGGAGCTGTTCATTCTCGATCAACCCTCTGAAAGACAGAAGACACAGTGAGAGGTTTTAAGTTAAGATCTCCATTTCAATTGTGGGGAAAGAAATGTCAGAAGAAATAACATAATAAAGTATTGTGAAGTCCCTTGAAGCCTGAACACTTATTGTTAAAATAGACACAGATAGCTTCATTACATAGCTTTTCTAGTGTGCAACAACAGCCTGTGAACTACATTTCCATTATTTATTTATTTTACATGAGCTTCAACGAGAGCTCACTCTGCAAACAAATGTTATGCAAACCTTTCATCTTTAAAAATCATTATAATAGAGATGTTTATACAAATCAGGACAGTCTTACAATGTGAACATGAGGCCTACAGACTCAGGTCTGGAGTAACACAGAGACAGTGGCCGACAACAGGGCTTTGTCAAAGTCAACATAAAGTCATGGGTCAGAGGAGGTGAGCTATTTTCTCCACTGCTCCAAAAAGCAGAAGATTTTTTCCACAGCCTACCTGACATTAGCCATCTCTAGAGTGCTGGCCTCCAGCTGAGCCTGGTAGTTCTCCAGCTGCTGCTTCAGCATCTGCACCTCGGCCGCCTGTCCGTCCATGCTGGCGCTCAGCGTGGCCACCTCATCCAGTTTCGACTCGGCCTCTCCCATGCCCCCCGTCAAGCCTTCCACCTTCTGGGACAGTTGGTCGCTCAGCGTGGACAGACCCTCCACCTGGATCCTGACCACCTCAAACTCCTCGCTCTTGCCTCTCAGCATGCTCTGCAGCTGGCTCAGCTGCTCCAGGGACACGGTGGCCTGCTGCATCTCCGCCAGGCGGTTCTTCATCTCCGTGTGGAGAGACATCACCTGAGCGGGGAGGTCGGACGTCCTGAGCTGCTCCGCTGTAGCCAAGGCCATGCCCGCCTGTTTCTGGGCCAGTGCGTAGGAGTCCTCCAGAGCATTCAGGCGGATCTCCATGCTCTCTGAGGCTTGCTGCTGTAAAGAGACATACAGGAGGGATGTTGAGTCAAGATGGCCACTTGGAGTAACCATCACTCTCCCTGAGATGGTGCAGTCTCTATCTACTGTATAAATGGGCCCCAACACTATGAAAATTATATAAAAGTACCAGACCTCCAAAATTACTTTATATTAAAATGCTATATTATTATAATAATGTACGTACAAAAACTACATTGCTCCTACCTTAAAGTGTTTTTAGGAGTCATTTGGTAGATTCTGTTCAAATTCTCATTTGTTCTCATTAAATCACAGTCATGGTAGAGCAATCAAATGCTCCAAGAGAGTAACTACCCAGAAACTGTCCAGGATTATCTAATTAGTTAAACCAATATCAGAATCTAACCAACCATGCCTGGACAGAACATACAACTATAGTTACTTGCAAAAAGTTGCAGGTGACAAACTGAAGGTGTTTTAGTTTCAGGTATGTTCCTGTTAGCCAATTAGTATTGTGTTTTATAACTTTGCTTTTGAATCGGCAAATGTATGAGTCACAAAAAAAAATTAACTGCTGATTCAGGAAATATGTCTGTAACAAGACTGAGCTAGCAAAGCTGCTCTCATGCAAACTTTTTGCCACATTAAATTACCGGAACTTCAAGTGTTGTATAAGAGAAGAAGGGAGTGGGTGGATCGGATTGTTTTGTTTAACTGCTTTATTAAAAAGTTAAAATAATTCTGCCTGGAGAAACTTCAACATGGTTGGGAAACACAGGTGGAGTGAAATACAACTCAAGGCAGCCATGAACCTGTTTGCAGTGGTCAGTTCATTTTTACAGATATTTAAAAGTATAGGAAACCAACACAGTATTTAAAAAAACAATGTGTAATTTCAGAAACTCAGATGGAACACTTCATGATTGCCTTTTAACAGTATCTGGTGTTCAGAATCAAAACCACAGACTAAATGTAATCCTGGCACACTATACTGTTGTTTCTTTTAATGTTGGCAGTGTCATGGGAATTTATAATAATTCAATATATATAGAGAGGTTTCATAACTACAAAATGTTCTCAGACTTGACCATTGTCAGGCAATTATCATATGAATGTTAGGGTTGTAATTACCATGCAATACTTCCCCTTCTGTCTGCCCCCCACCTTTCTTAAGACTGTCATGAAATGACCTAGCTGAATGAATACTCTTCCGGTGTCTCTTCCCTGTATAAAGTCATTGCTTTTCTGTGTAACTTGGTCAGATTTCTTTAGTACACATTGTTGCAGGGTTATCTGTCCTTCCAGCTGGAAATAAATTGATTCTGTTAAATGCTATAACTCTTTATTAAATAACACATTTTTGGTTTAAGCTTTTATCTTTGTTATTTTCTTACCAGAAGGTGATTAAGTGTGGAATTTCCACCACAGGCAGCATCCTCTATACAGCCCTGAAAGCATGTTTTACTTGAATTATAAAAGCAGATCACTTTTGATTTTCTGTATGAGTGTGAGATCAAGTCCCTGCTGGAGTAGGTCAGGAATAATCCTCATTACAAACGTCAGCAGCTGTGTGGATGTTAGAAATAGCAGCGACGTGGGCCACTCACAGCAGTCAAGCTGTTGACATTTTGAAATCTGATATAAGGCCTGCACTTTCCTTACTTATAAGAAGCAGTGTGCTGGGGCCTTTTCTTGTGGAAATTAGAAGAGATTTCTAGTGTTTTCATGACAGGATTTGTTAGACTATGGAAGGAGGCGTGTTGCTCTGTGAATAGCTGCAAACTCAGGTGACTACCACATTCTCAAAGCAACTTTCAATTACTTACCTGGTTATTTGACTGTCTCATATCTTCGTGGGACGACTGTAGCTTCACTATTTTCATCTGCATGCCCATGAGATTGTCTGTTAAGTAGGTTAAAGTTTGGTGCTGCTGGAAACAGAACCATGAGCCAGTAGCACCGCATATTACTATCAGCAGGAATAAAACCAAGTGGAGAGCGATGTTGTTCCCCCCACCGCGAACTTCTGTCTCCGTGACATCGTTTTTGAAAAAGTTATCTTCATGTTTGTAGTTGTTCTTCCCTTTGCGATGCTTTGCAGTCATTTTCCCCCACAAAGGACACAATGTTCTAGGCAGGCGAGGTGGTGTGCAAGGAGCGGAGTGTCAAACAAAGCAGAAGCAAAGTAAAGAGGTTTAAATGTTGAGGCTCCTGAACGCAGCGCTGCACAGATCGAGATGGAATCAATCAAAGTGCAATAAAGAACCGAGAGGCTGCAGCGAGTTCTGATGAAGAGAGGAGGATGAGGCAGAAAGGGAGGCGTGGACCGAGGAGGCGTGATCCTCCATTCAGGAAGAGGAAGGGGGAGTGGGGGGTGGGGGATGGTCGGCACCAGGAGTGGCTGCTGTCTTCTAATAGAAAAACTACACGTACGGTTTCCCTGGGCTATTTATTACTGCAGCATGTGGTCCCCTCTGTGGGTTACAATGAGGTGACATAACTGTGACTGCATGGAAACCCTCCTGCTGATCAGGATTAATGTAGTCAATTAACCTTTGTTCATAGTATGCTACAGTTTTAATGTGTCCTATTAAGTGATACACAGAGATAAAAGTCACCTTCGGTATTTGAGATGTCAACATCTTCTTGGCCTTTGCTGTTTCCATACACTCTATCTGACCTTCATTTAACGGTTGAATGTTCAATTGAAACTGCACTTTGGTCAAAGTTAATCCTTAAATTCTAATTAATTAGGCTTTCCTGTTGCACAGATTCAACTTTGACTGATGATTTTTTTAGTGCTTGTGTAGTACCTCCTTTTTTTCTTTGCAGGGTTGTGGGAGGGCTAGACCTCGATAAGCAGGTTGACATTACTTAACACAAATTCAATCCTATCCACTTTATTTATAGCACATTTTAATAACAGAGGGTTTGCCAAAGTGCTTCACAATGAACATAACATTATAAGAATAGATAAAAGGCCTAAAGGCTATGGACAGACAATAAAAGCATACAATTAGGTAGTGACAAATGACACTCACATTCACACGTATAGGTAGACACAGCGGGAACACCTGGACATTTTTCCTGTTAGATGACAGTTTGTACGCACAGCATGTTGCCTTTTGAAAAACAAGAGTCTCAAAAAAGACTTGGGAAGAGCATGAGCAGAAACACAGATTGTCAGCATCATGCGTGTTATGTGTCTGGTGTCAGATAAGTATAGTTTCACAATCTGTAGTGCAAAAATATCAACAATCAGCTGTAAAAAGATAATGTCGAACCACATCCATCTCCAGGCTCTGCACTGGTTATCTGATTTGAACCATGAGACAGAAACGTTTTAAAACCATCCAATAAACTGTTTTATTTGAGTATTGTTTTGTTTTTCTAAGCAATACAGTTTAAACAAAATTCCATCTTTTCCTATTGTAAATGTTGCATTATATCCAAGCGACACTTCAATTTAAACATGTAAAATATCTAAACTTTAAAATAAACACTGCTCATATTGTGGGGCCTTTAGTGTCTTCACTCTGTAAGAAAGAGATACATTGTTTAGCATCATTGAGTATGTTCTTTAATTCATCTATCCTTTGAAATCAAGTGTCTCTCTCACCACTGACACTGAGGATGGTGGAGCACTCAGCCCGTCCCAGGCCGTTCTCTGCAGAGATGGTGTACTCCCCCATGTCTTTGGGGCTTACGCGGAGAATCAACATGGAGCAAACTCCACACGTGTTGGAGATGTAATAGTTGGTATTAGTGTTCAGGCTGATGTGATTCCGATACCAGGTGATACGAGGTGGGGGGTTTCCCTTCACTGCACAGCTCATGTAGCACTCATAGCCTTTTGGTGCAGTGTGAAACTTCAACGGTACAATGAAGGTTGGAGCACATCGCAAATCACAGTCCTTAATGGTCGGTATATACACCATGAATTTATCTGCAAGAAATTACAAAAAGTTAGGATGTTCCCTGTGAATATTAAGATTTTCTTACCAACTTACCTTTCTTCTTCTCCCTCCTACAGGTTGGTGACTCTGACGGTCCAGAGATGCCCATGTCGTTTTTGGCATACACCCGGAAATGATATTCCCTCCCGTTCATGATGTTGCATACTGTGAACCTGTTATTGAAGAGTCTGTCAGCCACTATGGTCCATGTGCGTTTAGTGGAGTCCAGTTTTGACACTGTGTAGTGGAGGCGGTCATCACGCTTCTCATCAGGAGACGGTTCCCACATCACTGTCACCGTGCCGGGCACATTTTCATCCAGCTCTACCGTACCAGGGGGCTTCGGATCATCTGTAACCACAATCAGTTTTAGTGTTAACACTTCTTTGATATAGAAAATATACATTGTTATTGTTTTAGTTTTACCTGTGACCCTGACCTCTGTACTGAATGTCTCCTGTCCTGCCATATTTTTCACCAGAATGGAGTAGATGCCAGAATCAGAGCGCTCAGAGGAAGGGATCAGCAGCTGGGACGAGCCGTCAGAGTTACTGACTGTAACTCTCTTTGACACTGGCACATTGTCCTTCACCCATGTAATAGTCGGGCGTGGAGAGGCCTGTGGAAAAGAACATTAGCAATGAGTGTTTCAGGCCTGAATGTATCCTCAGGGTTTTCCTCCTGATTAGTTTAGCAGAACCAGTTGTCCTCAGTGTGTTGTCAATAATGAAGCTAAAGTAGAAATGTCACCTCAAAGTGCACTGTGATCCTGACAGAGTTCCCCGCCTTCACCACCATGAAACTCTTGATTTTGTGGTTCGTGAACTTTGGCCTCACTGGAAAAATTAGCACAAACAAAAGTGCTTTGGACAATGTTTAACTTCATGAGGCTTGTTTTAAAGAGTGAGAAATGGAAGGTCAGTTCCTTGAAAATATGTCTGTAAACATCCAACACCATACTGATCATGTAGAGAAGCATTACACATTATATGTACTAAGAGCTATGGGACTGTAAAGAAACAGAATATAAAGTAGATTTCAGTCCCCCAAACTTTCTGCTAAATGTTAGCTGCAAACCAACAACATATTCCAACAAGCATTAACATACCTGGTGATGGCATTGCGAGGACATAGTTGGGCAGCTCCTCTGCAGCACCATTTCCTCCATCATTAAACGCAATCACTTTCACCCAGTACATCTCCATGTGCTTGAGGCCTTTCACACGGAAGGAAGTGGTGATGATGAGGATGGTATTACAGCGGGACCATTCAATGCAATCTGCAGGACGAATCTCAACAAAATATCCCTTTGCTTCATCCTGTTCCCCAGGTTTATCCTCAGGCTTGGTCCAGGTCAGGACAAAATGGGTGTAAGAAGTCTCCGTCACCTTCAGGCCTATCACTTTACCAGGAGGCACTGGGGTACACAACAATAAAGATTATGCAATTACATATATCAGATGTTTAAGATTTAGGTAGTTATTTTCTGATCTGACATTTTACAAGTCTAATAAATATGATCCTTTTCAACGTCAATACAAATAAAATGCTTCACATTATTAGGCAAATGCTATTGATTTCATATGCCTTTAGAATGTGTTCATGAATATATAAATTGTGCAATCTATTGTTTATTTCTAAGCATTTGAAAAAATGTTGCTCACTCTTTGGATCCCGTGCAAAAACAAAGTCTGATGCGTTGCTGTATTCTCCAACTCCAGAAAGGTTTATGGCAGAGACTCTGAATTCATACTCCATCCCTACCACGACATCTTTCACTGCAAATTTCTTTTCTAAATCAGAGAATTAAAAACAACAAAAGCTCAGTGTTATGGTCTTCATTGCAGGATTAAACTACAATCAAATAAAAAGGACAAACCTTTAATAAATTCATCCATGGCATTGACAACAGTCCAGAGATTACTCCCTTTTTTGCGTTTCTCCAAAATATAGCCCAGGATACGTGAGCCTCCTGTTTTATTTGGGGCAGCCCAAGAAATATTGATGCAGTCGTCAGAGGCACTGACCACCTTTGGAGGCGCTGGAGCGCCAGGAAAAGCTGAAACATGCGGAGATAAATTGGTAAATTATATAGTCAGAGCTATTTTTACAGTTGTGTGACCCTTCAGTTTAATAGCAATGCTGTATTGATGGAAATTAAGTTATAATCTGGTCATGTTCAAAGACAAAAAACTGCTCTGACATCAAAGGTATGTCATGTGTTTTCTCTTGATTAACACTCTACCTTATAACTGTGCAGTAAATTATTGTTATTGTTAATCTTACATTAGCACTGTCCTGAAATGTTCAGCCTCTCAGTGAGTGAATGAAAATTAATCAACTAATTAAATGATAATTGATGCATTAATGGAGTGATTTATTAAGCTAAAACGTGTACATTATTTTGTATTTCTCAAGTGTATTAATGTGAACTTGTTATCTCTCATTGTAACAAAAAAACAAAATGTTTGGGGGTTTTGGGCTCTTGATCGAAATAAAAACAAGTGACTGATCACTGATGCAATGATAAAGAAGAGCAGCAGGGGGCGGTAATGAAACTGAATTGTATGGTGATCAAATAAGTATTTGTGACATATCGCTGTATGAAAAGTACAGGTGTGAGTCACTGATTACATTAATCATGGTTGCACTCTGGTGACTGTCATACTGTCATGGATTAGTGACGTTTTTTTCTTATTTCTTATAATATGTATTGCAGTTATGTTGTTTAATTGGTGCATACACCCTGAATTGGCACAGGCCACACCTGCCTGAGGGAAGGTTACCAAAGGGGAACCGCAGCCAAACAGTTTGGGGCATTTGAGTCAATTTGAAAAATGAGTTGGACATTTTCTTCACTGATCAGCAGACGGATGAAAAACATTTGAAGTGGATATAAACTTGTTTGAAGAATCTGGAAACCTCAAAATGGTTGTAAGTGTTGTTAAACCACTTGTAGCGTTTCTGAAGGTTTGCCTTGATACTAAAGGATGCTTAGCTAACTTAGCTGTGTAGCTAACTAGTTAATTGTGTAAAGTAAAGTGCTAAAGTCTGAAATATAACAACGGCTTTTACATGAAAGGCGTAAGTAAGTTCCTCACGATTTTACTCTTTGTTTTGTTAGTTTATTTGGTTATCAAGGTCTGTAGTAGGCTTTAGTGTTATGTAAACAAACGGTAAAATGCTATTGGTTTAGTTTCTCTCAATAAACAACGTTCTTCATCAATCAGTGGACATTAATGCAATGTTAATAATTGATCACAATAATTCCCATACAGATATAATTCAATCATTTAATAGAGACATTTAGCTGCAGAAGTTATCTACCCCAGAGTTTTTTAAGAGACATAAACAGCGGGAGACCCAAACCGGTGTTGTTGATCTAAAGTTAAACTGATATATTAATGATTAGATGTGTCATCTGCAATACAGTTCTCTCGCTATCTAACCACAATGTTACTGGTTTCCAACAGCAACAATTTGAGGGGATAAGTGGATTGCGACTATGGATGACACTGTCAACGTTTCTGTTCACTGTTGGGCCTGACTGGAACACTTCTTCAAAAACTTTGACTCCATGAAGGAAGTGCTAGTGGATGGAGTTTTCTTCAAGCACACTTCAATAAGTAAGTGCACGTTTTTTTTGTGTATGCTTGTATCATGTTTCTTTGTATGTGTCTGGCAGCCGTCGTGCTGTAAATAACCTGTGTTTGTTTTGACCAGCTGCGTTTTTGTTGTGGTTTGCTGTTCTTTTACATATTCATGGCCATGCATTGAAAACCTGTTCAAGATAGTGGACTTTTTTCAGATCTGGAGAGAAAAAAATATGCCACTTTTTGATTTGATATGTTTGTCAATTGGCTTAGTCTTGATTTTTTAAGTTTCTTGTTATTTGCTAATAAATGTTCAAGTATAGTTAATAGGCATTGAACAACAAAATGGAAAGGGTCCTTTTATCATCTGTTGCATCCCTGTTCTTCAGATTATAGATTAGTAGGTGGGTCAAACTGATCCGACATACATCTCAGAGGTATTAATTTGGCTCACCTAGTGTGCCGGCTTGCATTTCATCAGTCTCCATCACTTCACTTGTACCCTCCGCTGTCACTGCCCGGATACGGTAACAATATTTCCGTCCATGGTCTACATTTGTGTCACAGTAGCTGACCACCCCAGGGATTTCCCCTAATTTCTTCCATGTGTTTCGTCCCACCTGCTGTCGCTCCATTATGTAGTTGGTCACTGGTGAACCTCCAACATCCTTTGGAGGCCTCCACCTAAACTCAATACATTTAGCTGAGCTCTCAGTTACCTCTGCAGGGCCCAGGGGGGGAGTGGGTTTGTCTGAAACATCAAATAAAGTACTTGTTAGAGCTTGACACCTTTCCTTACTTGGTAAGGCTTGCGGCGATGGCAGACGTAGCAGAGGCTTGAACTTAATAACTTTTGTAAAGAGCTGAATTTATTTCCAAAACACATCTTTAACCTGTCACATTACCACCAACCGAGATTCAGCTTTGCTTTCTCCTTTCAGTAGTATTACAGAGCTGCAGTTTGAAAGCAAATACCTCCATCTGTCCAGGCACAAGTGGGCTCAGTGAAATGTGGTTCCCTTTCACCAGATAGAAAAAAGACTGACTTGATTCTTTTTCTAATTATGCGAATGAGTAATGAAGCATTTTATGACACTACTGTTTGCGTTTGATCTTACAAGAGCAAATGACTCTGTGCTACAATGCTTGCTGCACAAATCAAATCCTTTAGCGTCTGTTAAGAATATATTTTTCTTGAAGGAGTTGAACGTTTGAGTTAATTATTTCTTTGAACTGCTCTGACATTTGTATGGTTGTGCTATGAAGAGCCTAAGATTAAAATCTGTGGGTGATAAATTGATTCCTCTGTATTGAATTCCTGCATCATTCACTCACCGAGAACAATTAACTGGGAAATTGCCTCGATGAAGCCGTGTTCGTTCTTGAGCTTAATCTTGATCTCTCCCGTGTCCTTCCTCTGGCACCTGCTCAGCAGCAAGCGGCTGTGACTTGCAGATTTCTCTATCTTTGTGGTGTTGTCATCTAGAAGCTCTTCTCCCTCTTTGTACCACTTAATCTTGATGGGTTTGTGGCCAACGAAATGCAGTTTGAAGATTGCATTGTGGCCCACTTTCACCGTCACAGGCTCAGTAAAAGCCCCGAGGTCTTCAGGGTCAAGCCTTGGGGGATCTACAAAAATGGGTCAGTTAGTCATTTCAGTCGGATTTATCTGAGACCTGATTCTGATCTTTTCTGTAAATGTATATATTTTACTTTTCCAGTTATACTACATAAAATCAGTTTCTCATTTTCATGACGGACTGTCAAACCTTTAACGTTGATCATAGCCTCTGTTTTACGATGGTCTGCCTCAAAGCGGTATTTCCCAGTGTGCTCTTCCTCGCACCTGATTATGACTAATTTATGGATCGCACCATCTTTAATGACACTGAAATTGTCATCTGGAGATATCTGAAACGAAAAAGGGCAGACAGATGAAAATAAACAAATCAATCAACAATAAGTAATGATAGTTATAATCACTTAAGCAACACTACATGTCTAAAATGATTCTGTCGGTCTCTGTGTTCTTAGTAGGCTTAAAGTAAATATAAACTACCAAATGTTTGGGAAATAAAACAACAAAGCAATTTTACAATATTAGTTTTCGGGTCAGTCAACAATAATATAATTTTCCTTAATGTCCTTATCCAGCAAGCACTTGCTGGCTTCCTCAGCGAAGCAGCAAGAGTGTTTTTTTGTAGATGGTCCTTTTGACAATGATGGCCTTCTGATTTTAAGTCAGTAACGCTACCAATGATGAACACGTCACTTATTCACACATTCCCCTTATACAGCAGAAAATGAAAGGGAAGTTAACCACAGGTGTTGAGATTGGTAAGCAACCATGCAGTATCTGTCCTTGAAAAGTTAATATTTTCTTCTCGGACACTGACACGGTATGATGAGTTTGACCTTTACGACTGACCTTTTTCCCGTCTCTGAACCAGGCTCCCTCACAGTCCTCACTGCTGAGTTTACATGTTAGCTCAGCAGTCTCATTGATGATGGCATTGACATCAGACAAACCACAGATGAAATGAACCCCTGGATCTAACACACACAGCAGGGAACAGTTAGACACTAAGATCATTTTGATCATTTGAGTCATGTCAACTGAAAGGTACTGAAAATATTGGTAAATTAACTACTTATTTGATAACCAGATTAACAGACGCCGATGCATCCAGATGGAGCCCTTATCCTATGATGTAACCATGACACCTTTGAGGTATACTTACCAATCACCACGTCTTCTATCAGTGGGCCTTTTCTTTTACGCCTTGAACGTTTGGCAGTGCCATTTCCACCTTCAGTTTCTTCACTCTCATTGAGGCCTTCAGGACATGTACTCAGACCTTGTTAAAAAAAACCAGTATGTTGGTATACTGGAAAACAGAAAGCAAATAATGCCAATATAGCTAAAACAACTATTTCTGCCTATACACTACAAAACAAAACAGTAATCACTGCCTCATCTTCCATTCATTAAAGAAAAGGTTTTGGAACATTATAAAACTGCTTCAGGGTGCATAAGATCCAAACATGTTTTTTGTCCTGGCCATTGTCTTATACTCTACCTCCATGCAGTAATTTCTTACCATTAATGGATTTCTTTTGCCGCTTGCTTCGCTTTGAACGCCTTGAATGCTTGAACTGAACAGCGGCGTTGTTATTTCCATCAATGTTGCTTTCTGCATTGTTTTCTTCTGCATCATCTCTTCTTGCATTGCCACTTCTTGCATTCTCACTTTTAGCATCGTAACTTTCAGAGTCGTAGCTTTCTGAATCGTTACTTTCTGAATCGTTACTTTCTGAATCATTACTTTCTGAATCGTTACTTTCTGAATCATTACTTTCTGAATCGTTACTTTCTGAATCGTCAATTTCTGCATCATCGCCAATTGCTTCATTATCCGTTGGTGTGTCGTTATTTCCTAATCCATTTGGATCTTGGTCTAGAAGCAGAGGAACAAGGACTAGAAAATCTCAGAGGTCACACCAAGGAGAACAATTATGTTATAGCCTTCACACAAAACTGAGTGAGATATTGAATTTATAGATGTTGAATTATTAGTTAATATTTATTTATTTTATTTAATCGTTTATTTGGCAGGGACAATGTACAGTAATGAACACTTAAAACATTAAAATATATCAAGCGTAACAGTGCCGGGTTTAGCTTTAAGCTAATTTCCATCCGCAGTCACTCACATAAAACATTTATGAAAATTACATTTTACAAACACAGCAAAAACAAAATACATTATATGCAAAAAGAGCAAGAGCAGCATACACAATAATAATAATATGTTCCCTGTTGGTTCTTACCAGATGCTTTTTGTTTCCTCAGGACCTTCTTCTTGCTCTTTGTACGTCTGATAGACCCAGGAGAGGACTCTTTATTTTCATCTGAATTAGGAGGTAAACAGCTGATCATTTATTGCAAGATAATATAACTTGACCGTGAGATAAAAGGCCTCTTCAGAGTACGATACACTTTACCCAAGCACTAAAGGCCGAAAGTCTTCTTAAAGCTGACATCCAACCATCCAATCCATTCTTAAACTTCTCTTTTAAATAGAACAAGTGTAGAAGCTGGTGAAAATGCATTGTTAGGCATAGATCGACTTTACCTGTTACCTTGTCAAAATCCGCTTGACCAGATCTACTGTGTTTCTTTTTCTTGGGGCCATCTATCAGTTGGGTTCCTCCTTGTGTTTCACCCCCTGAAGCATCTAATGTTGTTTCGGCTGGATCTCTCCTTGACTTCTTTTTCTTTGCCTTCCCTTTGTGCCCTTTCCTTTTTGGCTCGGACAGAGCACTACTTGTTGTGGCATTATGCTCTTCAGTTCCTGCTCTGCTGTTCTGACCCAGTCCATTGACCGTAGTTATTTCACCGTCTCTTCCAGTTGTTAATATCCTTCCTTCTTTCAGGGCTCCTTCTCCGTGTTTTGCTTTCACGGCTGCTAAAATCTTCTCCACCTCCTCTTGGTTTTTCATTTGTTGCTCTCTGGCCACTTTCTCAAGGTCGATTGGTGCTCCTCCAGCCAAGGTGGTTTTACTGGCTCTATCTGCAGGGTCACCCTCAGCTTGGATGATATGCAATAAAACATACAGGACATAATTATGGCAGCATGTAGGATCATTCATCAGTACACATTGACAAATTGGATATTGGAGCAAAGGTGTTACCTTGAACAACCAGCCAGGCACTGCAGGACGTAATGCCGGCCACAGCTGAGTAGATGCCGCTGTCCTGCTGGCTGCAGTCTCTGATCAGCAGCCGGTGGATCAGTTTATGGTCCGACACGCTGATGTTGTATTTCTCTCCGTCCTGCAGGGCGCTGCCTTTGCCCATCCATGAGATCCTGGGCAGTGGGTGAGTCAGGACACACGCAAAGAGGGCATCTTCTCTTTCTTGAACTTTAAGCTCCTGAATTTTTATAACAAAGTCCACATTGCAAACTGTAAAAAAACAGAAGAAGAAAAGTCAGTGAACCAACCATCTATTCAGTCGGGTGCACACAGCTTGTAACCATTACCATGAGAGGTGCATAGACCCACTATTTATTTTTTGTATTTACTTGCACTATTCTGTTTCTGTTTTATTGTGTTGCACTGTTGGAGGAGCCTGTGATCTAAGATTTTCATCAACATAACTACACTGTAGCTATGCACGTATGATAAATAAAAGCCTTGAACTTGAACCTTGAACCTTTACTCCTTTTAATATGTAATGGGCCTTAACGTAACTTTAGATTTTCTTATATTGCATAAACATGGACAGCAGTTTCTATCCAAACCCTTTTCTTGAACCTACGTGTGAACTCTGAATAGAGAAGCTTGACCTCTTCATCCACCAGACTCAGTCCTGTGTGGGGAAGCTTGATGTCTCCATCCACCAGATGATTCATTGCTTGGGAAAGGTAGATCTGTCCATCCACTAGACTCATTCCTGTGTTGGAAAGCTTGAGCTGTCCGTCAACCAGACTCAGTTCTGTGTTGGAAAGCTTGAGCTGTCCGTCAACCAGACTCAGTCCTGTGTTGGAAAGCTTGACCTGTCCGTCAACCAGACTCAGTCCTGTGTTGGAAAGCTTGACCTGTCCGTCAACCAGACTCAGTCCTGTGTTGGAAAGCTTGACCTGTCTGTCCACGAGACTCAGTCCAGTGTTGGAAAGCTTGACCTGTCCGTCAACCAGACTCAGTCCTGTGTTGGAAAGCTTGACCTGTCCGTCCACCAGACTCTGTTCTCTGTCTGAAAGGTAGACCTGTCCGTCCACCTGTTGGAGCCCTGTGCCCTTCTGCATTGGGCCGTTTGCATTAAAACCATTTGTCCTCTCAGCACCCTTAAGGCTGGGTTTCTCTGTAGCATCTTCCTTATAGAGAATCACACCATCCTACCAAGAACACAGAGGAGTGACAGGACAAATATTATACACCTTTTAATGCTGAATGTGGAAACTCATTAATTGAATTGGTTTCTTATTGTTTTGAATCAGTACTTTTAATTATTTTCATTTTGGATAAAATGATGGAGGGTAATTGTAATTCACTATATAGCGAACAAGGGGTGACTACAGTCGGTGTAATACTCTGAAAGAGCTCCACAGGTTAAGAGATCTTGATTAGTCTTTCTATGCATATTGAAGCTCAATTTTAAGCTTTAATGAAGCACATAATTATACCTGTTTGCTGATCCTGACAAGACAGGGTTGATTAAGATGGGAGTGAGGGAGTCAGATTTACTGAGAGGAAGTGAGCAGTAAAAATGCATGATACATAATAAAGTAAAGTAGAAGTAAATATTTAAACTACAGGCTGATTTTAACTGATAACTGCATTTGAAGTCATCACAACAATGTGTTAGTTAGTGATGATTTAGCTGGAGATAATGTATCTTCTTTGACATCAGTTAGCATACCTCACTCTTGTTTTGCACCTTCTCCTTCCTCTCTTTCAGCTTCTTCAGAACCAAATGTATGTCTGTAACACCAAACTCATTACAGATGCGCTCGTAGTCGTTCCTGTCAGCTTTCAGCATCGTGTCCCAGAATCTTTCATCACCTTCCCCGTCTCCTTTTTCATCTACTTTGCTAAAGGTATCAGGCAAACATAGACATATGTTTCTGCTATGCCACTAACAAGTGATAACATTTAAACATATGCAGAAATATCTCGTTTCATATCATCGTGATTTCTTACCTTTTCCGCAGCATTTTTCTGAAGTCTAATGGATTTTTAGAATCTGAAAGCATCAAAGTCAGCTCTGGTTTGTTAATCTTTTAAAACTATATTGTGTACATTTAAGGTCAGATAAAGCTATGACAGGCTTACTGAACATTGGATAATTTTTCTTTCAATATTAGAAAACAATTAAAATGCCAGCTACAGGCTTTATGACTTCCTGCAATCAAACCAATATTCACAATTATGTTTGGAACTGTTTAGATTTAAACTCTTACCATCAACCAGATTTAACGTTGTTGAGCAGACCGCTTTGCCATACTCGTTCGAAGCATTGCATTTGTATATATCTGCTTCCTCACAGGACACTTTGAATATCTAGATATACAAATTGAAATGATCAGATGGAAATATTGAACTTGCATGTCTTGATACAGATGTTCCTGTTCATACCATTTTACTGTGATGTTCAATACTCTGTATGAGCAGTAACCACTTCAAGGATGTTTAAGTCACTCACCTCTAAAATATGCTCTCCAGTTGATTCATCATATCTACTCAGAAACTTTTTCTTGTCTGTAATAGGCCCTTTGGTTCTTCTCCATGACACCTCTGGTTTAGGATCCCCTGTCGCGACAACCTTGAAAACCGCTATATTCCCTGAAGAACACATGGAAAAACTATTGTTTTACCATTTATGACTTTTAGTTTCAGTCAGAGAGACGATGCTATTTGTTTCTTTAATCATTAACAGTCATTTATTGTCATGCACCTCTTTAAAGTAACTGTGTAATTGCATAAATATATCAGTTGTAGTGCTCTGTTATTATGAAACCCACCTTCCTTGATATCCAATGGGGTTGGTTTGCTTTCGAAATCTGGCGTGCTTTTCCCCTCTGGTATGTCTACTACATACTGTGTGATTATTACTCCGGGGGTCTTGGATCTTCCCCGGATGACAGCTAAACCAAGCCAGCAAAAATAATAAGAAATAGAAACATTAAATAATGAGCATTGTAGCCTTCTTTACAACCTGACATTCAAAACAAAATCACAGTAGCTTTTGGTAGAGCTATACAGATTTATTTTCTGCCGCCAGCAGATGTCAGGAATGTCAAACAAATTCCCAGTGATGCTCCGTCTGTAACGGTTGTCTCTGCTTATTGCTCACTATCAGTTAGGATTGTCATGCTATATACTTTTACTGTAATCTTGAATATGTGTTAATTGCTTTGGGTTTTTTGCCTCCTTAGAAGCTTTTGTTAATTGTGAATGTAATGTCAGCGCTAATTAAATAAACGAAATGAGGCAGATTTAATGTTGTATTTCTGCAAATGAACACATATTTAAGGGTGCTCGTTTTAATTGTACAGGTACAAGGTTGCAACCTTTTACGACAGAGATGTAGTGTAGGAGCTATTTCTTGATGTGCTTTTATCATATGTCGAACATTATGTAAATTCTCAATCTATAAAGTAATTATTTCTAAATGTACACAAAAGGAGTGCAATCGGCAAATATTTTCACAACAAATTAATCTGCATATCCTGATTGTTTGTAAGGTTTCAAAGAGGTCCAAAATCAAAGATAATTCTCTTACAATGTAACAAATAAACCAGCAGACGATGACACTGGAGAAGTTAAAGTATGGCATGTTGCAAATAACAATGAATTCTTCTCAAAAGGATGATCAATTATATAAATAGTAGTTAATTATTATACTCTCAATGGAGAGTATGTGAAGTAGTATGCTTATTGAATACACTGCTCACAGGGTTGAATAAATACAGTGCATGAAATCCTCACTATGATCCTCTGGCACTGCAGCTGAACATTGTCCTTATCGGGCTTTGGATGTGCAAAGATGGAGGATCACACAGGAGTCGATAAAGAACAACATTAATCCAGGGATTAACGATTATTATGACAAAGACTAAAATAGGAGAAGCTGCATCCTGTCACACGTTCAACTGAGGGTCACTGATTTCACTAGATAGTAAATACATATTTGATATTATCAACACAAAGTTATGACACGCCACAAGCTGACACACTATTCAATATTACCTAATGCATCTTTCAATATTCATTCCATTATTCATAACAATGGATTTAAAATGCTCAATGATGTGCATGGAGACCTCAAAATAAAACAGCTTTTTAAAACTGTACCTGTCTTGCTGCCAGACACCTCATTAAAACGCTGGATATATTGATGAACGAGGGAGAAACCTGGAAGAAATGACACAGTATCAGTTAGAATAACATGATGCATGCTATGCTGTTGCTGCAGGCCATTAAGTGCTAAGTAAATATATACAGTACGTGTCCAACAGAAACTGTTTGTTATTATCTGCCTCTGTGAAATTACAGGCTTCGTCCTGCAGGCATTTTTCAATATATGCAGAAATGTTGGTGATGATCAAACCCAGCTGAAGCATTTATTTGCCTTTTTTTTAATTTTTCGGTGAATGTGATTGATAGCTTGATAGAGAAGAGACAGGGAGAGGAGTAATGGAGTGAGAGACTGAAATACAGAGTGGGCGTAGAGGCTGGAAATGACCCAGTCAGGCATTGTGTGGAAAAAGGAAAGCTCATAGAGGCCTGAATAAACTGCAGCACGGAGAGGTCAAGGTAAAGGGCAGCAGGCAGGAAACCTTAATCCAGGGATGTTTTCTCCTCATCCTCAGTTTATCACTGAAGCCGGAGAGAGAAGACCTTTTATAGTCAACTGGCTTCTGAAGTGCCTGTCAGTTGGGCAAACTCCAACTCGCATAGTCCTCTTGAATTTTAAGAGTAAATAGAGATCCACATTGTGTGGTTGGAGTGAATATTTTCTACTTTCATCTTTTACAAATGCCATGTCAACGGTCTTGTTATAATATCTTCAATTATATTTTCTCTAAACCTGCAAACAAGTTGTGTGTGGCCACTAGGGGGCAGTGGAATCCATTTTTGAACACAACATTGACATTTATTACCTTTTTAAGATTGAACTTGCTAGCAAACTGTGTATTATTTAAACATCCAGCCATTACATAGCAACACATTCATACATATGAGTCACCTAATGAATGTTTAATCCAACTCAGCTCTGTTTTTGATCTCCACTAACTACTTAAGAAAATATGTATTTTAGCTGATACAGTCAATCTCCACTATGTCTGCTGATAAGTGGTTAGTGTAAATCTGTTTCACTGAAACACGCTTCCTAAAAAACCCTGCAGCCGAAAACAATGCTATGTCATTGAGATTGAACCAAAACATTTAACTTATGGTCAATTAAACCATGTTTGAGTTTTTTTGCCAAGGTCAAGCATGAGGAGCTAAAGATTCATGTGAAAATGAACTGTAAATGAATCCATACAGTACAAGCAAACCCTATTTTACGTTATCACAGTTTTTTTACGTATTTTGTTACATTATCCTAAAAATATAGATTATTGCTGCACACAAATACATGTTCCAATGTTTATGTCACATCTTCAATGAGATTACCATATATTATAACTGACAATTCCAAAGGAAGGAAGAACACTTTTCATACCTTACTATGAATATAAACAATATGGTTGTAGTCAGGCATTCATTATGTACATGTGATTGAGTGATAATGTGAAAGGGCTAGACTTTCAATTTATGTTTCTAACTTGGTAATATTTAAAAATGTTCCCCCATAAAGTCCTGTTGAAGCCTGAGCATTATTCACTTTGCTGTCACCGCAACCACTTCATGTTTCAAAGTGTTTAAAGCCACTGTCTCAACGTCACCATCCGTCAGTGTTTACAACATGGAGTGCTTTTCTACACGGCAACATCGTTTGTTGACTCCAGCAATATGTTATGTTTTGGCAGGATAATTGTAAACTCATTTTCCGACACTTTTTTTGATTAACTTGGTCACAGTTTTACTGTATGTGCAAATTAAAGTGATTTGCTGTTCACATCAAAGCCTGAGTAGGATTTTATTACAGATTATCAATGCGAAATAGTATGATAAGACACAATTGTATTGAATGTTGCTTGTTCTAGTTCAACCAATGTACGTTGTACATGAGTTTCCTCTTTGTTATTATATCTGTTATTTTAGGATTCTTTTTGCCCTTACTACACAATAGAGAAACACCTATGGGTGTTTATCCTCAGACATATAACACACTTTTGCTTGGTTTTGGTATTTAGGATTAAAATAATATAGTTCCTCTGACACAGCATCAATGTACTCCTGCACCCATCAATGTTTGCAGAAGATGGAGGTGGATAGACCACTTTATTATTATTTAAATTGGTGGAACATGAACAAGCAGAAAATAAGAAGAGATAGGTGAGAAGAGGAAGGTGGGTTGCAGTACTGTACATCTTCTGTTGGGAGTGGGACCTTCGCTCTTCTCTCTCTTCCACATTCTGGCAAGAGTTAACAGTCAGTAGAGGGACCTGCAAAAAAGAAATGGGAACATGACCATTAGTAAAAAAACACCAGACATCAATGTGTCCTTGAATTATAAAGTATCAAATGTACTATGCCTGAAGCCGACCAAAAAAAAAGATCTTGATTAACTGAAGTACTTCCTACTTGTCAACTAATCGATTTGCTGATGGGTAAAAGCAACCTGCAAGTTATCTGTAGATTAACTACATTTGCAAAAGTGCACTGAGTGCACTCTGACTCGTAGCCTAAATGAATAATAAATAGCATAAAAAGCTGCAGCATATTAAATAATTTCTAACCAAACATTTTTATACCGTGATAACAACAGACTCAAAGCTGACCAGTGCACACCAGCCTGTGTTTATGCATTCCTTAAATAGAAATAGCCGTTGAAGCTATCCCAAAGGGATGCATCAGCAGCTATATACTTTAAACAGAACTATTAGGTTATTTATTAGGCCAAATGTTTTGAGGATGCCAATTGTGATTATGTATTATTACTTTGACCAGAGCAGTTATGAGAGGCAATCTAATTTGAGCAGAAAAGATGTGTAAATCAACCAAATTAGATGGACAAGAACATTTTCACTAACAAAACTACCAC